TTTTCTCCTTTTAATGACGACTATTGAAAAAAAGCAAATCCACCATGTTTTATATTAATATGGAGGGAAATTAATTTACGATATCGTTATTATTTTATCACCCAGCATTAATTTCAATGTGAATAAATAGAAAACCTGCCCCCCCCCCCAAAAAAGCAGCCCTAGTAGTGGGTAGAGCTGTTGTGAACAGTAGCGCCCCCTTCTGACAGCAGGAGTCAGTGTGTTGAAGGATTCTCTTCACTTCAGTTTCACATACAGATGCAGTTCATCGCCTCCAGTAACCTGATGAGTGAGTCTAAAACACAGTGAGAGGATGGGGACAGACATGAACACAACAGTGTGTGTCTGTACCTGTCAGTCTGTACCTGTCTGTCTGTACCGGTCAGTCTGTACCTGTCAGTCTGTACCGGTCTGTCTGTACCGGTCTGTCTATGTGATAAAGTCCAAACTGAAAAGGTGAAAAGAACGGCAGTTAAAGGAGCAGAGACCACAGTGAAGGGAGTCAGTAAATCAGAGTATAAATATCATGACTGCGTATTCAGGTGAGCTGACTCCCACTCCTGCGGCTCATGCTGTCGGTTTACACAAATTTCTGTTTATTAAAAATTATTTTCAGAAGTTTCTAAAACTGTTAAAAAACTATTAAAAAAAAAATCAGGTCATCTCACGACAGCCGACATGATCGAACCTCGACACGCAGCAAAATGAAAAACACTAGTAACTTAGCATTTTCAACCCTAAAACTAGAAGATGAAAACAATCCAACAGCTACTCCATCATTAACCAGGCAGCGCTGTCCGAGCTGAATTTCTTACTCGATGTCTTCAATCAAAAGATCTGGATTTTATTCGCAGGTTGGACAGCCATGCTAACTGGACTAAATCAAACGGAGTACGCTAAAACAACTTTTCGTTAAAATGTTAACTTATTTCTGTCGACCAATGGTAAGCAGTTTTACTGTCCAGACAAATACCGATGTATCGGGTCGGGACTTGGTATTGGCAGATACTCCGTTTTTGGGAAACATACAAGCTCACTGAGAAATAAAGTATAAAAATAACTATAATAAAAATATGAAAACAAAAATGAGGAAATCAGGTCAAGAGTGGAAACAAAGGATAATTAGTGTTTTAGCAATAATTTTTGCTTTAAGTTTAAGCAAATGTTTAAGATGTATACAGAAAACAGCAGATGAATTTAGATTTAAGAAAATAAATAGTTAAGATTATAAATGAAAGGCGATGACTGCGTTAACTTTAGTATTTTTAAATGTTTGTTACTGGTGCTTGATTACTTATGTACAGATGGTCAGTATAGGCATAAACAATAATCTATAGTAACAATGATAAACAAAGAGGTAAAAACTGAAGACTGTCTGTGTTTTTACAGCTTCCTTTAACTCAGACAGTAAAGGTTTATTTATCAGTGAAGGAAGCAGCGCCGCTTTACAGGTGATTTCTCATCAGAAACAGCTGAACAACATTTACCTGCTGCTAGCTAACATCGGGAGAATTACCGAGACGGTCTGATATTTAACGAAGATAACCATACAGACACGTGCAGGCTTTCTGAAATAAACGAGCCAATCACAGAAGAGCTGTCTGGTGCTGAGACACCCGAACCGAACCACAATAAACAGGCTTTCACCCCTCTGAATCCAGCTGTGTGAACCGGACAGAACCGGAACCTACCGTTGGACCGGCGGACGATGTTCTCCAGGAACGTGTTCTGGGGGGCCACGAGACCCCGCCGTCCTCCCGCCATCCTCCTACAGCGCGAGGCAGAGCCGCTTCCCGCCGTTCACATATCTGATGCTGCGCGAGCCCCGCACTCAGTAGAGAAGGCTCTCTCTCTCTTTCTCTCTCTCTCTCTCTCTCAGCAGGATCGTTATTGGCAGATGGTTGCAGCAGGAGCTTCCAATGAGGCTGGCAGTGGTGGAGAGAGAGAGAGAGAGAGACAGAGAGAGACACAGAGAAAGACAGAGACAGAGAGAGAGAGAGAGAGAGACAGAGAGAAAGAAAGACAGAGAGAGAGAGAGAGAGAGACAGAGAAAGAAAGACAGAGAGAGAGAGAGAGAGAGACAGAGACAGAGAGAGAGAAAGAAAGACAGAGAGACAGAGAGAGAGAAAGAAAGACAGAGAGAGAGAGAGAGACAGAGACAGAAAGACAGAGAGAGAGAGAGAGAGAGAGAGAGACAGAGAGAGAGAGACAGAGACAGAGAAAGAAAGACAGAGAGACAGAGAGAGAGAGAGAGAGAGAGAGAGAGGTTGAGATAAACTGGTGCATTTGTTACTGGTGTGACTGTGTTTTATCAGACCTGAGCTGACACCAGCAGGACCTTTTACTTTGTTGGTTCTGTACAACAGAACCTGAGTTTTTACAGCTTTGCAGCCCGCCTCCATTACTACACAGACAGAAGCCTAATGCAGCTAACCCACAGACTGTATATATACATACGTGGTTCCTCCTTCTGCCAGTTTACTGACTGATGAAAAGTTCTCAGTAATTCTGCGTTTTTTCTCCACGTCCTGAAACCAACATTGTTCAGTAACGTTGTTCGTATTCGGCGGGAGAGTCGCTGTGATGACGCTCGGCTCAAACAGCGTATCCCCCGGTGATCTACCCAATCTCTGTCCTCCCATTGGCTGTATCAGGTGTCAATCATAGAAAACATGAACCCCCTAATAACTTTTAAAAATGGAGCTGTACAGAAAAAAGAGGACTTGAGCACAAACCAGTCTGACAGTAACTACATGTCAACATCACAACCAGGGGGGAGAAACATTTATATTCTGTGTCATTCATTTAGAAAGTTTGTCCACAGCTCCATAAGGAGGCGGGGTTTAGGACCTATACTGCAGCCCGTCACCAGAGGGCGCTGTTCTCACGGAGGAGGCAGACGGCGTCTGTTCTAGATACAGTCTCTGGTGTTAACACAGAATAACGATAAAGTCTGAAAAGAGGAGCAGGAGCCGCTCAGCACAGTACTCACGGTTCTTCTTGTACATCAGGATCTCAAGAGTTCATCTCGTAGTTCTCGAACAGTACCTGTCACACAGTCCGCTTACAGGCCCAGTTCAGCCGGTCTGATCTAACTGGACTTCTGAGGCTCCAGCGTGTGATGTCCAGACTAAACCAGGCGTTGAAACTGGTCACGTTGTAAACAAAGTTGACCCCTTTCTGGTTGCCCCATCAGGCCCATCTTCACAGGTTCACCATGAGACATGACGTTTACACTCCTAGTGGCCAATCGGAGGAAAGCTTTTCTCCTTATGAAGTGTTTGAACACGAACTCTTGCACGTGACTTTCAAGTGTGAGATTTACACGATCACTTTGGCTGATAATGAAACTTTCTCAACTGAGAAATGTAAGAAGTGCCTTAAATTCATCCTCGATCGGAATTTACCATCAAACTAGGCGAAAGTTGAAATTAGGCACAGCTGGTTCAACCCAGCGCAATCAAATTACTGACTGGAGCGAGTCTATTTCCTCTACGCTAGCCGGCGACACGCCCCCAAGGTTACATATTATTAATCTGAATAGCCAGAGAAACGTGTTGGTAGGGGCCTCCTGGGATTAAAGTTGAACAATGAAAACACATCATTTTGACGGCTCAGACAGTTCTCGTTCGTACAATATCAAAGTTTCGTCTAATTTTATGTTTTTCTTATGTCTTTTCTTTGTCTGTCCAGGTTCTGTTTGGTACCCGGATCCCCAGGAACGCATCCACACTATTCAACTTCCTGCACAAAGCCCAGCTGCAAACAGTGGCGCCCGCTCAGAAAGCTTCAGTCAGTTTCCGTTTGTCCGAGCCATAAACCTGACAAAGGAAAATCAATTTCAAACCGCATTATCAGGCACGTTATGAGAGGTATGACTTAGCGCAATTTCAGTCAGCCTGATGCAGTTAATCGAATATTCTGAACAACATGCAAATTGAAAGAGATTACAGCAGAGTATTAGAGCCAATTTATAGATTAATGCCACTGGGTATTAAAATAGAGTTGTGATTTTTAAGAGCATGCACTGGTTATCTGTCAAGATCTAAAAGTACTGTTCATGTGGAAAAGGTCAATGTTATCAAAATAAAATTATGATGGAACGAGAGGTAAGTCTGTATATTATCAAAATAAAGTCAATAAATTATTAGTATGAATTGTTATTAATATAAAGTCAGTATAGTATTAGTATACATTGTTGAGTATGAAGTCTGTGTTATTTCAATAAAGTCTGTATGTCAGTAGGATTTAGTCTGTATACTGAGAACAAGGTTATGTGACAAGAAAATGTCGTTTTTATTTTGAGTCTCTGATGTTGATGTTTCTCTGGGATAGAAAAGTAGATACTGGATCAGTGTTGGACTGTGTCTCCCTCTGCTGGAGAAGAGCCGTCAGAACAGGGACACTGACAGGTAAACAACCCAAAATACACGCTGTATTTATACAAACATCTTTTCAAAGTTTTTTCTTTTAATAACAGATGGAAAATCAATGAATATATTCAATGTATGAACAGCGAATTTTCAGATAAATTTGTGATATTTATTGTTTGATTATTTAGAAACGTTCTTGATATTTGGTTTTTCAGACATCCTGTTTAAGTAATAATAAAAAAATCTTCATGTTCGGCGGGTATTTTGTTTAATTTAAACATTATTTTGAGGTTTACTTTAATTTTTGTTTAGTTTGTCAGCGGAGGGATCTACAGTTCCAGGCGCTGCAGCAGCTGTCGCCTGACGGTGCGTAAAAATCCTTCCGCCACTGTGGTTAGAGCCCGCTCTGTCACCACTGTGAAGCAGCAAAATCTCCCTTCCAGAATAATTCTGAGTATTAAAAACAATTCTGCATTCACAGTAGATCTTGCATATTTTTTTTTCAGTGGTGCTAAACACCTTGAGGAGGCCGAACATAAAACAGAGGGAGGAGAGGAGCAGCACAGCGCCACGGACCAGGCAGCGGAGGGAGGGCGAACAGCAGCAGAAACACCTCCAGCTTCTCCTGCTGCTGACATTTTTCACCCCGACACAGCTGCTCAAACACGGTGTAAAACAGCGCAAAGATGCCGGGGATGATGGATAAAGGCTCGGAGTATTTGGGCAAAGGTCGCTCGAACGGAACCAAGAGTCCGTCCAACGCGTCCAACGGACATTTTTCTGACGAGAGCGGCAGCGACGACGAGCACGGTGGGTATAGCCTCGAACAGCCTCCCGTCGCTCCCCGTATGTCCGTTTCTAACGCGGTTATCTGACTGTAATAAGTCCTGGTTTTGATTTTGGTGTTTTCCAGATGTGGGGATGCGAGTTGGAGCGGACTATCAGGCCAACATCCCGGAGTTCGAGCCCGGTGAGGTTCCGCTGTTTGTGGCTGAGTGACGGACGGTGGTAGCCTCGGTCCATGTTCAGGACTACAGACTGAAGACTACAGACTCAGCTTTGACTGTGTTATTACTGCAGGCTCAGACATGAACCGAGGCTACCAACCTTACACTGATACTGTTCGACTCAGATCAGCTCAGGGTGTGTGTTTGTGTGTTTTTATCGATATAAAGAGGAGGTCAATATCTGTGATCACATGTTCAGACAATAATTATTATTCTAGCATGATCATAAAGTATTTTTGTACACAAACCTATTGTTTGTCCACTCCTTTTTGGCAGTTTCCTTTCATTTTTACTGTCAAAGGTTATAAAAGCTCTGGGTTTTTACCCAAAGACACTGATATATGTGTGTAAAAACTACCTTTAAAAAAGCTACAGTGATCAGTTTAATAAGAACTCCAGAAATGTTCCCAAGATTTGTGACGAGAAGATGAAACTTAAAGAGCTTAATTAATTTAACAAAATCAAGAAAAAATGATCAGGTTCAACAAAGTCTGAGAAAACCTGAAAGGTTCCTGGAACATGAAATCGACCTTTTCCAGGCCTGGAATAGTTTGGAAACATAAGAAAACTCTAAAAGTTCTGGAAAAGTTGTAGAAATGTTCTTTAGTAAAACTCCGTCACAGAGCATATCACGCATGAGTGAGACTTAAAAAATCTGTAATTTAAAGAGAACCATGGATGTCATGAATTTTAGTTAAAATCACCAATAATCTTGGCCTGTTGTTTGTACTTACTTTACACATTTACACAGAAGTTTGGGAAAATAGATGGAACTGGACACTTACCTCTCAAGATCATGAAATATAAAAAGACCATAACAGCATAGCTGTTAATTGCCGGAACTTTGTTTTATATATGAATAGGAGAGTGAGCTCCATGTAAATGTATGAGTAGGAGGAGCATGAAGGAGTTGTGGATGGATGGTAAACTTGTTCTTCTGTTTGTTCCCCTTCAGGTTCTACCAAATACTCTGATAAAGACAGTGGAGGGATGCTGGTCTGGTCTCCCTACCATAACATTGTTGACTCAAAGTGTAAGTTCTCTCTTAGCCGCAGTCCTCTAATAGGTCCTCACGTCAGTCACTTCAACTGTGTTTGTTTCCTCCACAGTGGACGAGTACATCGCCATCGCCAAAGAGAAACACGGATACAATGTGGAGCAGGTGAGTCACAGACTCCGCCTTCAACTCTCTCAGTCAGATATCTGTTTGAAAAACCAAAATCCCCAAAAACTGCTGATGAAGAACAGAATAAAAGAAACTTCTGAGTCTGTTAAGATGTTCCCTTTTTTAGGGAACAACAGACAATTCAAAGGTTTTCTCCTGTGGATTTGGGTCCACAGACAAATGTGATCGATCGTGGGTGTATCCTATCCTTATAGGCCACATGATAATATGAAACAGTTCCTGCAGGTCAGGGCTGTATTTGTCATGTCTGATTGTAAATGTTTGTGATTTGAGGACAGCTGGTTTTTCTGAGGACCAAACTCTGTGATTTGCTGGACTGTTATTGTGGGTGTGTTCACAGGCTCTGGGGATGCTCTTCTGGCACAAACACAACATTGAGAAGTCTCTGGCGGACCTGCCGAACTTCACCCCCTTTCCAGACGAGTGGACGGTGGAGGACAAAGTCCTGTTCGAACAGGCCTTCAGCTTCCACGGGAAGAGTTTCCACCGCATCCAGCAGATGGTAAATACTCCAGAGTTTATCAGCCAGGGTTCAACTTTTATAGCAGCCACCACCAAACGTTCCTGTCAAACCTCCACAGAGAAGTGTGAGAGCCCTACTGGATTGGTCTTATTCTTTCTTCTGTACCTTTGAAGACCCAAGCATGCCCCCAAACTCCAGGATTTTTGCCAGGTAGATGTTCCACGCAGAGACACTGAAAAGTCTTCTCCAGAGGTTTTAGTTGAACATCTGGTCTTGTAGATTTACAGGATGGATATTTGACACATGATGAACTCCTGTAGCGGCTAGCGTAACGTTGACACATCCGCAGTAAAAGCTTTCAGAGCTTGGTAGACGTGGTACTGAGTTTCACACTCAATGTCCAACCTGTACCAGATCTCTCAGGTCCAATTCTGGTCCCTGCCTAGTTCCAGTTCTCCTAGTTTTTTCTCCCAGATTTAGCAGGAAACAAGTGGCGTTAGCAGTAGATCAACTCACCCATGACCTACTAAATCACCTCGTATTTCTCTTAGCTTCCAGACAAATCCATCTCCAGTCTGGTGAAGTATTATTACTCTTGGAAGAAGACTCGATCCAGAACCAGCCTGATGGACCGGCAGGCCCGAAAACTGGCCAACAGGAGCAACCAGGACGACAGGTAGGGTTCAGCCAGCAAAGGTCAGAGGTCGGAGTGCCTCAGTCTCATTTACAAACATGAAAACTGCTGTTGATGATGCCTGATGACTTGAATTCATAATTCCACTGACGGAACAACATCCAGCTACAACAGGTAGTAATGTATTGTTTGAACAGCAGGTGGTGCTACAACCAAGCAAGAGTTGTTCTCCTGTTTAACACAGGCTCTGGGACTGCTGCTGTAAAAACAGAAGAGGACAGGCGACTCAACATGAAAACTGTTGATTCTTGCAGTACTGCTGTACGTGGACAAAATGTCCCACAATGCAATTCGAGCTGGTTTAATATCAGCTTCTTGAATCTGATAATTGATTAGTTATTACATGAACATATTGGGGTCATTAGACTTGTTGAGTCTGTAGTCTTTGGGTTACCTGGGTCGTTTGGGGAGGTTCGAGTTCTTGGAGTTGTAGTGTCTCAGGTTGTTAAAGCCAGAGGGACTGTTGGAGTTTTTGTTAAGGCGGGGTTTCCAGTTGTTGAGGCTGATTTTTGTCTCATTTTGTTGCCATAGCGATGAGGAGATGGAGGAGGCCAATCCAATTGAAGCAAACGACAGTGACTATGACCCCAACAAGGAAGCCAAGAAGGAGGTAGGTGGACTAAATGAGGCGTTTCTGACCACAGTTATGGTTCCACTGAGATCTCTGCTCCCTGAGTTTGATTTTTCTGAGTACGTCTTAAACTTCAGCCACTGATGAAGAAGAAAACAGATAAAACCTTATTGATTAACTCATGGTTGATGAGGAGGGGGACTTTGTTCTGATTAACTGACTGTTCACAGTTTTTCTGTATCTTGGGGGTTTGGGGCTGATCCTGAACTACATGAATTCCATCAGTGACGTTCCATCCATGTGTCTATCCGTACAGAACCAGGTGGAGACAGTGGTACCAGGCTGTAAAATGGCGTTGGGGCGGCGGGAGCATCAGACCCTGCAGCACCGACACCACCAGCGCTCCCGCTGCCGCCCCCCCAAAGGCATGTACCTGACCCAGGAGGATGTAGTGGCCGTGTCCTGCAGCTCCTCCGCCGCTAACACCCTCCTCCGTCAGCTGGACATGGAGCTGGTGTCCCTGAAGAGACAGGTGAGAGGTCACGACACTTTTCTCTTGTCTTCTTGTTTCATCACAGAGAGGAACCAAGAAAAGTGAAGCAGAAGAAAAGGAAAATGAAGTTTCAGTAAACATAAATAAACACCATGCAATCGGACTTCTAATCGCCAGAATGAAGATTGAATCTTTTGTTCACCCTTCAGTGTCCATAAAGTCACTCAAACCGTGGTCACACACACCTGAAAAACCTCCTGAATTTTCAGTGTTTGTTATGTGTCAAAGTAAGACACCTGATTTGGCCAAAGTTCCTCTCTGGCTTCCTCCAGATTTTTTCCTACCCATCTACAAGTTAAATTTCAAAAAGAAGTGGAGGTGAGCGGATGGAAGAGCACAACAAGTTGGGCTGGAACAGCAAAAATGAGTCCCCGGGGTAATCAAGTCAACTGTGAAGCTCTGTAGGCGTGAGCTCGCCTCACCTTCACTCATGCTCAGATGGAAACAATGGCAACCACAACCGGCACCAAAACTGAATGTTACTTTGCTTCACTGGACACGTTTCTCACTACGCCATCTGAAAATATAACAAGGAGGAGGAGAGAGATCCCTCTGGAGAACTGTGACCGACCCGTCTCAGTGCGATCTTATTCTGGGAGACACTCCCATTAAATAGATGAAGAGTCATTTCACAGATGTAAAAATGAGAACATTGAAGAAAACTGAAGCAAAAGTTTCATCATTCTTCAAACTAATGTACTTGATAATAGACGATAAACAAAGTAACAGCAATAATAAACTATTACCCCAGAAATAACATCTGAGACCTGAATCGCCGTCACCGCAGCAGCAGCCTGAACAGCAGGTAGTATTCTGGGAAACGACCATTAGTGAGCAGGACACCTGCCCAGAAACTTTGGCTTTTTTTTTTAATCAAATCAGAGATTATGAGTTCACAGTTAATTGAGTTTGTGTTTGGATCTTCAGGTGCAGAATGCCAAACAGATGAACAGCGGACTGAAGCACATCCTGGAGTCTGGGATTGAAGAGTTCAGAATGCCTGAGGTGTTACAGACTGCTCCAAAACAACAAAAACAGCAACCACCACCCAAACACGTTTCAGTAATACACTGAAGCTCTGTAAACTCTTTGTCTCCATAGAGTAACCAGAAGGTGAACGCCCGCTGGACCACAGACGAACAGCTGCTGGCCGTTCAAGGTGAGCTCCAGATATCATCAATCTTACTTGAAACTTGAAACTCAAGATAAGACCGTCTGTCAGGGTCCCACATGACTTCTTCTTCTGTGTGTTTATTTATTAAAATTCATCTCTGATGTTCTTCAGGTGTGAGGAAATATGGGAAAGACTTCCAGGCCATCGCTGACGTCATCGGGAACAAGACGGTGGGCCAGGTGAAGAACTTCTTCGTAAACTACCGAAGACGGTTCAACCTGGATGAAGTACTGCAGGAGTGGGAGGCGGAGCAGGGGACGCGAGCCCCCAACGGAGACAGTGCCACCTCTGGAGAGGAGGGGAAGAACAGCTCCACCACTCCGTCGGGGAAGAGCACTGACGAAGAGGACGAAGAGGTGAGACGGTGAAGTGGAAAGAGGGGTCGTGTTTGTGTTTGTTTACTAGATGAGCTTGAGATTTCTTTGTTTTTGTTTCGTTACCATCAAAGTCACGTGAAAGTAGACGGCTGGTCTCCTCATGCAGAGAGCATCTACATGGGCCTGGGCGATCTGGCAAAAAAATGTTAACAATATATTTTGTCATATCGTTCGATCTCGATAATTATCACGATTTTTTTTAATCGAAGAACACGAAGGCCAGTTTGAGTCTGACTGAAGCGTAAACATGCTGAAGATATTCCATTCCCATTCCACTATGAGGTGGTAATGACTCCGCCCTCTTTTCTCTGCAGGGTCAGGTGACCTCATCTGGTGCGTCTCCTGCTGCCTCCACTTCCTCTTCAGCTCAGATACCAGTGACATCCAGCTCTTCCTCCTCCTCCTCATCCTCCTCCCTCCATCAGCCCCCTCCTCTCTTGCGTCCCTCCCTCCCTGCCACCCCCTCTTTGCATCGCCAGCCTCCGCCGCTCCAACAGCAGGCCCGCTTCCTGCAGCCTCGCCCCACCCTGCAGCAGCCTCCGCCTCTCATCCGCCCATCCAACCCCCTTCCTCCCCGCCTTAACCCCCGCCCTTCAGCTCCTATGACCCTCTGTGGTAACTCTGGAGGATCAGGGCCAAGCTCCTCCCAGCAGCAGCAACCAAGCCTGGCTGGACACCAATCAGAGACGGCCTCTTCCTCTTCTCTCCACTAATGAACTCTCAACAACGAAAGCTCTCTGCTGCGGAAATCTGTTTGACTTTATTCCTCAACACGACGACTGTGTTTTCACTACATCCAATCAGCTCTTTCTGTTACCGCACCTGAACATGGAGGTGACATGTTTACATTCTACAACATCCAAGAAAGACAGTGAACAGTGTGTGTGTGGGGGCGGGGGGGTTAAAGTTCGTCTTCCCCTCCAAACTGTCATGCTTTGTGCCTGCTGGGTGAGTTTACAGTCGAGGTTGTTCGGCTGTTTTGAGCAAGAGCCTTCGATCTTTTCTTAATCCCCTTCAGACACATGGCGTCTCTCAGGGTTCAATACTGGATCCCTTTTGTTTTTCATCAGGTTGTGACAAACCCACATTAACCACAAACATAAATTCATACAGAAACATATCCTTAATTTGTCGGAGATTTAGTCACTCTGACTAGGAGCCCAGTGAGTATCTAAAGCTTGATTGGTTTACGGTCCCTGCTCGATTTAGTCTGTTTTAAATTCTTGAAAAGACTTCAAAGAGTTGAAGGATATTTTTCTGTCTGGTCTGAAAATAGCTGAATACCTAAAACATGGCGGTTCAAAAGCAAGAAAAGAGGTAAACTTCTAATCTGTGTAATTTAAAACTTTTAACCCCTTTAAAATCTTTGTGAAGTATTCTGGGCCCTGGATGTAAACACTTCACCTGTAGGGGGTGCTAAAGGCTCTCAGGTCAGTGATGCCACTTTTGGCTCCCTATGTTTGTTGTATTCAATCCAAAAGCTGTAACTCAAACAATGAAAAAAAGTTCTCTGTACTGTTCTGGGTTCAAGAATATATTGTTGGTTGTTCTTTTTATTCTGTTTAGACTCAAACCAAAGACGGGTGTTGTCCGGCCTCGTGTCTCTGAGTCTCCAGGAACTTTGTTTTCTTTAGTCCAACAGCTGCTGGTTTAGGTTTTGTTCGTCAAACTCACAGAGGAAAAATACAGCTGTTGTTGCTGGAGAGAGTTTCTGAATTTGATTAACATATTAGACTCTGAAAACACACAGTACGACTTGTTGGTTTGAGTCTAAACTGGCAGAGAGGATTTCAACATACTTCTTTCTTTTCATATCTTGAACAGATCACTTTATTTTTCACCCAGCATGGCGGTGTATTCCTAAGAAGAGGTCAATATCTGGCATGGTGTTTTATTGTAGTAGATGGCGATGAAGCTGAAGGCCTCAGTGTTGTGTACAGTAGCAGTAGATGTCTATGTGTACAGTTTGGTACCTGTATTTGTTGTCCTTTAGCTGTGGCTAACCCATTAGCTATCAGCAGCTGCACTTTTTCATTCGATCACTGATTTTAGACTCTAAAAGTTAAACTCTCAGACATCTTGCAGTTTGTGTGAAATTCTCATTTTTGTGTCCTTAACATTTCTTCGGGTTGTTCTGTTGTCTAGTCAAACTAAGAACCTTCATCATCCTCATCAACATGAGCGTCTGACTCTGAGGGTCAGGTGTGCCGTCCGTCTGCCTCATCATTATTTATTCTTCTTCCCGGTGCTAACATGTTGGACTGGGTGTAAAATGATTGTGAAAGTGCTCTTAATCCTTTTTTTTGGACAAACATTAAATGTCACTGAATCCTGGAGTCACTCGTGGAGTCTTTTGAGTTTTAGCAGATTAAATATCGATGTTAAAGTGAAGCTGCTGGTGTCTGTTTTTACAGTAACCTCATGGTTATGTTGATCATGTCAATGAAAACAGGAAGTTCATAACCTGGCCTGAGAGGTCATTCAGTCAGAGGTTACTCACACTTTTAATGAATCCTGCAGCAGGTCAACAGGCTGAAATATCCACAGCACCAAACATGGATCTGTGAGTCCTCCAAAAGTTCGGCTCTTCTCTCATCTTCAGGGTTCTGCTGGTTCTGACAAAGTCAACAGAACCTTCGTATTCCCTGAAACTACGACTCAAGGATACAGATATATCAGTCAAAACTCTGTCGAATTACTTTAACATACCTGAATAACGAGCAGGTGAAGATGACCACCTGAACGGTTCCGGTGTTGTGCTGTAGAATGGACCCCCGCCGTGGAGATTATACTTCCAGGACAGTAAATACTCAGAACCAGAGGACTGTTGTTTTCGGCTTATCTGAATAAATTAAATCATTAAAGGCACACGCTTTAGAATCCACCCAACGGTAAAGAAAACTGGATTATTTCGCCCTATTATGGACTTTAAACCGCGCTCTGTCAGGGGTCCATTCTACGACACAACACCTGTTGAACACCGCCTCCTCCTCAGCCGCTGCTGCCCCGCCTCAGCGCGGCGGTGACGGTACATATGTTAGTGTGACCATACGTCCTCTTCTACCCGGACACGTCCTCTTTTACCCGGACACGTCCTCTTTTACCCGGACACGTCCTCTTTTGGGGGGCTGTCCGGGGGGTTTAGGGGTCCATTTTACGGCACCACACCTGTTAGCTTCTTCCCGCCACTCTGTCCTTCCGTCATGGCACAGCGCGTGACGTCACATTCAACGAAACTTTATTCAGCCGGACAAAAACAGACAGAAATAAAACTCCGTAAAAACAATAATTTAACTTTATAAATGAAACAGAACCGAACAGATAAGTTCCTGACACGAAAAGAAAACGAATGAACAATTATTAGGAAAAAAATCTGCCTTTTTAAACACCTGCCTTCTCACAGAAACACGGCAGGAATTCACGTCTTTTTAACTTGTTTACCTTTTTTCTCTAAAAAATATTTTATATATCTGAAACAAAAAATTATGGCAAAACTAAAAGTAAACATGTGGAAAAACTAAAAATTTGGTTTAAAAATAAAATCATGTGAATATCTAGAGTCTGGTAAATGTTCGGCTTCACTCGTAAATGTTCGGCTTCACTCGTAAATATCCGTCTCGGTTTTTCTAAATTCTGGATCAGGGACACGGAGACACCTTCAGATTTTACGGTCACACCTTCTTCACAGGTAATGTAGAGTTTATTAGTCCGTTAAATCCTGGTAATAAGCCCCTCTGTTTCAGCTGTAAAACACATTTAATTATCGATTGAATAATGAAGATAATTATTTATTCTCTGGTACTTTGTTCATCCTGATATTTTTGGATCTTCCTGTTGAGGGTTTTCCTGGTGAAACTGTAGAGTATGATATAACTGCAGTCCTGTAAATACCTGAACTTGTGTAAATTACAACAACAACAATACTACTACTACTACTACTACTACTACTACTAATAATAATAATAATAATAATAATAATAATAGTAATAATAATAATAACAATAACAATAACAATAACAATAACAATAATAATAATAATAATGATAGAGGTAAGGTCTCTCGGAGCTTGTTGCTCTGCAGCAGGTGGTTGGAGGAGCTGAGTCACTTCCTGGTGTCATTATTTCCTGAGTTACTGCCGCTGATGTACCGACACACACACACACACACACACACACACACACACACACACACACACACACACACACACACACACACACACACACACACACACACACAGCCAATAATCACAGATCAGATCGATAAATGAGAGAGAGAGCAGTCTGGATCTGCGGGACTAACAGTTGGAAATCAAAGATGACTCTGATGAAGCTCCTCTCGGACCTCGGTGCTCGTCCATGTGTCTGAGGAGAAAGTGAAAGTAAAAACTTGAGCGGGAACAGAAAAGTTTGTCAGCAGGTGAGTGAGAGCAGACTCTGATCTGAGCCTCATACTTTCATCTTTATTAGTTATTATTCAGTCATTACTCAGTTATTATTCATGACCACGTGCAGGGGTATCACCGGGAGCAGCACGAAACTGATCGAAGAGCTGATCAGTAACAGAGTTTGTCTTCAAAGGTCGATAGAAGAAGAATCTTTAAACTTTAAACTCCTTAAAAGTTTTTTATGTCCTCAGCAGCGTGTTTGTAAAAAGTCCTTCTATGTTCATGTTTCTCACTGTGTGTCCTCAGATCTTCTCTCACCAACGCTTAGTGAACCCAGCAGACCAGGTCCTGGAGTCCCACTTTAAAGGGATATTCCGCCGTAAAATATGAGACCCTCTTTGTCCTGTTGATGAAGTTAGGTGCTGTTCTGAGCATTATTTGTGGCTATAGAGTGGCGTTTTGGTTGAGGGCGTGACTCTCTGTATTTCTATCCTGCGGTCGTTACTAAAGTTGGTATGACTAGAGAAGGAAGCGGTCGACAACATTCATCTCTGGAGGGGGGGTCTAACTCGGTGCTTGAATATCCTTTAACTAAGACTGGGCAAATGTAGGGGTAGTTAAAAACGCTTTTCTGCTCCGAGTTTGATCAGAAAAATGACTTTAAACTGTTCGGACACTGAGGTCAGAGACGTCAACGCTCTCTGCTTTATGTTCTGTGGTCTGTGCAGACTCTCATGGAAACAGCAGACACACAGCCTGGAGGGTCTGAGGAGTCCATGATGAGGTCTGAGGAGTCCATGATGAGGTCTGAGGAGTCCATGATGAGGTCTGAGGAGTCCAGGATGAGGTCTGAGGAGTCCATGATGAGGTCTGAGGAGTCCAGGATGAGGTCTGGGGGTCCTGTAGGCTCCTGGGAGTCTGAGCTGACATCTCGCCAGCGCTCCCTGAAGTTTGTGTTGGCGCTGAAGGAGGAGTTTGTCTGTCCTGTCTGCGGAGGAGTGGTCCTCAACCCCCAGCAGAACTCCTGTGGACACATCTACTGCTACCACTGTCTCCAGGGACTGCTGTAGGACCCGGTCCACCTTAAAACACTCTCCCACCTGAGAATGACGCACACATCACATGACACATTTTTCATCAGTTTGTATTTGGAAAGAAAAAAACTCACCTTTGGTCCACCTCCATCAGTCCACTCCACACTGATTCAGTCCACCTTAAAACCAACTCTCATGGCTGCAGACCACCTTTAACACCAGTCTGTTCTGTCACGCAGGGAGAGCTCTTCACCCTCCAGCCCAGTTTGTCCAGTAGATGGCGCCGTGATCACTCCTGCTGAGGTCAGAAACAGCTTCAAATGACATGTTAGCTTAGCGTGGCGCCGATGTCACGAGTTCAGACAGTATTCGGGTAAAGACGAAAAAGTGAAGCGCACTTTTGGTGACTCACAGGCGTAATCTCTAGTGTCCAGGAGGGGGCGCCTCCTCCTCGGCTGATTAATTGTTGTTGTCATGTAGCTCCGCCCCCTTTATATGAACACAGTCACTCCTGAGAAAAAGACGTCAGGATCTCAAACTCAGACGTGTCTCAAAGTTTTTCTTCCTGCAGGTTTTCCAGGACAACTGCTGCAGACGAGAAATCTCCTGTTTGGAAGTTTACTGCACCAATTTCCCAGCATGCACCTCTGTGGTCACACTGCAGCACCTGCAGGTACTTATTCATCCATCAATCCATGTGTGTGTAGTGTGTTGATGCCATTGGCAGTGGCGTGAAGAGATGATGGTACCTGACTCTGTTTCAGAGTTTAAAGTCACTCCTCAGGTTCTTCATTCCTCTGAAAATCACCAAGTGAACCTTTAAAAACCATCAGCGGAGACTTCAAATAAAAGGGCGCGGTGAGCTGCTGGGTTCTGGTCCCAGAGCACAGCCTCCTGTATGTCAATGAAGGACCTGGTCTTCAATATTAACGAGACTGTCTTCAGGGACAAAGGTCTGAAAGGACTTCCACTTGAGCAGGGACTTTCAAGGGCTAGATCAAGTACCCCAGACCTACATTCAGACCCTGGTTCCTGCCATAAGAATACAAAGAGTTCCTCCAAAGGTTCTTGCTCCTGGGGAAAGTTGCTGCAGCAGAAAAGCACCTAATTTTAACACCGATTGTTCTGTCATAACGCCCCCTGGTGGATGTTTCCTCCTCTGCAGGAACACCTCAGCTCGTGTCAGTACGAGCAGCTGCAGTGCACCAATCCAGGCTGCAGGGCGGCGCCACAGAGGAGACACCTGCAGGAACACCTGACCAGCACCTGTCCTCACCGCACAGAGCCCTGCCCACACTGCCAGCAGCCAATCAGACTCAACCTCATTCAGGTAAGGCCCTCCCCTGACTCTCAGCTGAGCTCCTCAGTCAACAGCAGACCTCCAGGCCCAGATGTCAGCAGGGTCCAGGTCGGTCCGAATGAACAACAATAAACTGCAGTTCCTTGAGTGTCCTCTAGGGTCAGGGTTCCTCAGGAGCCCCATGTTGAAACTTTACAGCAGAAGTGAACCGGTTTGTTCCAGTTCTGGTCGGTGTCGGTGAGTTTATGGAGCAGCACTCACCTGCTCATTCAGGATTACAGGTGAGCATGACTCGGCATAATCTGGGCCACGACTGAGTCGACTGACAGGTGTTAGAGCTTCTTCTCAAACTGATCCAGAGCTGGTTGGAGACAGTCTTTGAGAGGCCCAGGTCCAGGTTTTTGACGGTCTGTGGTTTTCCCTGAAAAGCTGGTTTTGGTGTGAACATGAAGAACCCGGTCTAGACGTCATTCTTGGTGAAAGCAGAAGTAAATTGAGGAAATGAAAGTGAACCTGTGTCAGAGAGCGTCCTCTAAACCTGCCGCCCATGTCCTCTTCCTGTCATCCTGCAGGATCACCTGCAGACTTCCTGTCTTCAGGTGGAGGTGGGCTGTCCTCACAGCTGCTCCCAGAAGGTTCCTAGACACAAGGTGAGCTCATCTCTGTGAACAGATCATGAAAATATAGAATCTGCACACGTGGGACCAAGCTTTGGGATGGGAAGTGTTGAATTGGCCAATCAGAAGTCAGCAGGCTTTAGTGTCGGTACAAAGAGCAAAATCAGGAGGAACTCAGTCCTCCATGAAGACCTCCAGCTCTGGTCTGATAATCAGAGTTCTCAAACTCCGATTAAAGTCGGACTAAGGTGTTTACATGACCTTCAGCTGTCCGGTCTTAATCGGAATAAGGCGATAATTCGGTTTTCTCGAGTGTCATGGAAACGGACTGACTGAGACACTAACCCGACAGACGCTGCGTCACTAAAGACCGACAGAGTTTAGATCAGAAACGACGGCTCTGACCTCCGTCCAACAAACAAACAAACTTTGAGAGTTTTCTTCTCCTCTTGAGGACAGAGCTACGGTGGCCCTGCAGGTCAACTCAGCGATCGTTCAGGAAAGACTTCACCTCATGAAACACAAACAGTTCATTCAACATCTGAGAGACTATTAACAGCGAAGCTGAGACTCTGTATAGACAACAGGAAACCCTTCGTCCTCAAGAACCAGAGGTCGTGAATCTATGAATCGAGGCTTTAATGTCCTTCAGGCTGTTTTTCCTGGAGGAGGCGGGGACACAAAGATCCGTAACTGTCCGTCAACAAAGTCCAATAAGGACTGATGTTTGCTGACTGGGCGGTTCTGAGAATCAGACGTCCAGCAGCTGGGGTGTGCATGACCCCACAGATCCAATAAAACCACCAACAGTGTCTGAGTCTGTGTTCTTTCAGCTGGCGGAGCACCGAGAGTCGTGTCCAGAGGTTCACGTCGACTGTTCCTACAGGAGGTTCGGCTGCCTGGTCCAGGTGAGTTCACCTGAAGACTGATCGGTCCATGTTCTGGTCTTATCCTGTTGGCTGATGGGAAGTTTTCATCCTGCAGGATAAGAGGGAGAAGGTAAAGCTGCATGAAGACACGGCAGTCAACCATCACATGCTGCTGGTCCTGAGGAGTAACACACACCTGGAGCAACAGGTGACCACACCTGAGGAGATCAGATCATCCTCAGAGATGTGTCTGAAATACGAAGAGAAATTAAATATATATTTAGACTCAAATTGTTCAACTTCAGTGTTTTACGAACTTCTTACATAATCCGGTCTAAAGCTGTGGTTGGGGGCGGGGCTAATGTGCGAATATGGGCCAATGAAAACAGGAAGGTGTGCTCTGTTCTTTTTAAATGAAGCTGCATAGAAATAAAGAATAAAGTAGATTTGCGTTTCTCTAGTTTTACAAACTGTCACATCGAGTCATTTTCAGGTTTTACACTAAACCGTATTTTGTAATAATACTCACCTGCCACTAGGTGGCAGCAGCTGTTTCACAAAAACTCATTTTTACTGAAAACAAACGACCATCTTCTGATCGTTACCGCTGAACGTTGATCGTTACTCGAACATCGTTTTTCTGTTTCCTTTGACGTATTCGGACCTCGGTCATCTGCAGACTCTGACCTTTCTGGACCGACCCAGACAAGAAGACCGGTCCAGTCTTACTTTAGGTTTTCGTATTTTAGATCAGATTCACACTGACGTCCGACTCCAGGACTTTCCTTCAAGTATTGTCACTTTGCACAGGTGGAGGTCCTCCAAGAGGAGGCGCTGTTGAGGCAGCAGGAGGTCCAGGCCAACAGTTTACTGCTGACCGGTTTGCAGAAGAAAATCCAGCCGCTGCTGCAGCAGAGCAGCGGCCATGAACACGTCGTCTCTGCAGCTCAGGTGAGCAGGAGGACTGACTCACTTTTGGAGACAGCCTCAAGTGGACATTAGAGGAACTGCAGTTTTTAAATCCTAAACCTGAACCCCCCCATAAGTTCTCCTCTCTGTCTTTGGTCGGTCTTTGTGGTCAGAGGACTCTGAGCAGGCAGGAGGACATCCTGTCCACGCTGCAGCTGGACGTCCAGCAGGTGTCTCGTGGACTCTGTTCGGGTCGAGAGGAGCTGGAGCAGCTCAGGAAGTCTCTGGACGCCGTGATCCAGGAGGTCTCAGCAGCTGAGGCGCTCAAGGAACATCTGGGTAAGACCAAGTCAAACTCTCAGCAGCGCGTACTCGCCGAGGATCGTCACGTAGATGGTCATAGAGGTCATAGAGGTCATAGAGGTCATAGAGGTCAAAGTTAGTCAGATCTGTGATGTTGAGACCCTCAGGCCCATGATGTTGTCTTATCAGATGATTTCCTGAACGTTAACCATGTTAGAAAGAAAAGGTCGTTTCTCCGGAGGCGAAGATGTGAGTGAAGTTTTCCAAAAACCTCAGAGTACCTGAGCGTGACCCTGTCCTGACTGTCTTCAACGGTTTGATCCAGTAATGGAGAAGAACTAATCAGTGAGGAACCATTCAGGTCGAGATGTTTCTGTCGCTCCTTGAGGAGGTTCAAAGTGAGACGGTTTCAGGCCAGTCTAGAAGGTCCGATGATGTGGTCCACCATCTTCACACGTTTGAAGAGATGCTGACTTTACTTTCTTTCTTTCTCAGAGACTTTGGAGGAGAAACTGAAACTTCACTCGAGTCTCTCGGAGCTCCACGCCGCTCAGCTCCACCACAACGAGCAGCACCTGCAGGAGCTGGAGGCCACGTCCTACGACGGAAAACTGATCTGGAAGATCGACGACTTCAGGAAGAGGAGAGAAGCCGAGGCCAAAGGACAACCCCCCTGCCTGACCAGCGTGCCCTTCCTCACTGGACGCTGTGGCTACAAAATGGCTGCCAGGGTTTACCTGAACGGGGACGGGGAGGGGCGAGGAACTCACCTGTCCCTGTACGTGGTCCTGATGCAGGGGGACTTTGATGCTCTGCTGCCTTGGCCTTTCAGACAGACTGTATCTCTGTCTCTGCTGGATCAGAGTGGAGCCAGGAACCACCGCAGTCTCAGCTTCAGACCTGACCCCTCCTCCAAAAGCTTCCAGCGTCCCGCCGCCGAATCTGTGAACGTGGCGACCGGATTTTCCTGCTTCATCCCCCTCGCCAGGCTGGAGGATCCCCAAAACGCTTCGTATGTCGACAGTGACACGCTGTTCGTCAAAGTCTGGGTGGACATGGTGGGTTTAGAGCCGCTCTGAGGACCCAGAACCTGAACCTGAACCTGGGTTTGTGTCAGGACCAACTTTTCCAGGAATGATGAGTCGATGAGTCATGAGACGTTTCAGTGTTCAGATAATAATTATTCTGAATTATTCTGATTTATTCCAGATGGATTTGAGGCTCAGATTTACGTGACCCACAACTAAAGCTTTTATGGCAGCGGGGCAACTTCCTGTCGTCGCCCCCCTTAAGTTATGGAGCTTAAAAGTTCACTTCCTTTTAGCATCTCCGCTTTAGTCTGTGAACTTTGACCATCAGTCGGTGAAGGAAGGAAAACCGGAGACGATGAAGATCTTTAGATCTTTAGACTCCGCCCTCATCTGTTGGCGCTCCTGCTGTCACTCATGAAACAAACAGATTTTGGATTTATGGTGTTTTCGGTTTTTTTAAGGGTTTAGAAACATTAACAATCATTTTTTTGTCCCTGTGTGAAAAAGGTTCCTGGACTCAAACTCACCTCGGTTCATCTGCTGTATTCGTTCTGTTTTTGTTGTTCATCCTGTTAATTTTATTAAAATAAACGTTTTTTACATTAATCTTGTTTTACAGTCATTTTTAAGTTTTATTTTTTATAGTTAACTGGTTTCGTTTATAACATCGATCCTAAATGCATCTTTGGTTAATATGAGACTTTTTTTATCAGAATCATCGGTTTACATGATTTTATAAAAATATCGTAAATAATTAGTTAAATAATCACATGTGCATTTACTGAGAGTTTAAAGTATTTTAATATATAACAAATATTGTGTAAAATGTGTTTTTTTATTTAACATGTGGTCATAATGTTAGTTCCTATTAATAAATATAAATACCTGCTTTAATAAATAAATAACAGAAAGTTTCATTATAAAATTTAATTTTTTAGATAAATCCAGTTTTCTAGTTTTTTCGATTTATCTTCATTTCTTTAATGAGTTTAATTTGAGTATTTAAGCTGTTTATAGTTTAATCTCAAATATTATCTTATGTACTTAAATATAAATCATGATGAAAAAAACGAGGAATTCAATAAAATTAATGAGATTTTATTTACATTTTTCAAACTTTGTTCACTGACATGTTTTCACCCCGTCTTTAAGTAAACAAATAAATCAATAATTGTAATAATAATCAATAATAATGTTGTTTCTCGGCCTCTTGACCCCACAGTCTCATCCAAACTCACATTCACAGAACATTGCCAACGAAGAGCTGAACAGCGAGAGACCGGGTCCAGATCCAGGACGACGTCAGAAACCGGTTTCTGATGTCAAACTCCGAATGAGCAGAAATCTCTCATCCCATCTTTGTCGTCTCGGCTTTTTATTTTCGATGAAATAACAAATTAAATCTGTCAGAGTCCTGTGGTCAGCAATGAAGAGCGTCACGTTTTATAGGTTGTATAAAAACAGTTTATTAAGTTACTCTGAGACTGAAGTTCTTCAAACACGTTAAAAATCTCTGTAACAAACTAACTTAGAAAAAATCGTTTCCTCCTTGTCTTCCTGGTTTGTCCTCTCTGAAAACCTAAAACTGGGACATTTTCACTCGGTCTGGTCTATTTGGGTCCCTCAACCAGAGAAGGTGGAGACATGTAGTCCACGCTGCTGATCATGTAGTCCTATCTGCCGATCGCAGCTGATCGTAACCATTCAAGCTTTCAAGTATTTAGACGTCATTTCACCCCGATGACACCATGGATGAGGAGATGCTGATTCTAGAAGTCTAGAAGTAGATTTCCTCCTCTGGAAGGACACAATCTACTGCTTATATGTCTATGTGTCTGTCTTTATAGAGACAACTCGTTATCGTACGACTGAACGTGAATCTGCCTCACAAACAGATCCGGTAGGAATTGGCAGACGGTGAAAAATCGATCGGATCCGTTCCAGATACGGTGAAAGTTGGGGTTAGAGACAGATCACTGTCTCACTGTCAGAGTCTGCAGTTTAGCTCCACCGTCCCTCTGCACGTCAGTCAGCAGCTTCACACCAGACCCTTCTGGGTCCGTCTGACTGAGATCCAGCTCCTTCAGTGATATGTTGGACTTAAGAGCCGAAGCCAGAGACCTGCAGCTGCTGTCCGTCACCCTAGACAACCTGACAGAGAAAAAAACAGTCACTCAGACCAAGACTTCCTATAAACCAGGTACAGTAGTCCTCAAAGACCTGGACTGAACTTCAGATACAAAAAACCCGCCATGGACAGGTTCTGACCCGAACAGCTGCAGCTGACTGGGTCCAACAGTGAGTCCAAAACACACAAGAACCTCACCTCAGCACCTCCAAACAGCAACAAGATTTCCTCAGCCAATCACAAAGCAGCTCCACCCCCTCATCCTTCAGCAGGTTGTGGCTCAGGTCGAGGTCTTTGAGAGCTGGGCAGGGTCTGACCTCTCCGGTGGCAGCTGGTCTCAGGTCCGTCAGGTACGGGCAGCAGGCTGATGTGAGTGAGCAGCAACTCAGACTGGAAACCATCAAACACCAAATTATGGACCGGACAACCACAGGTCTGCCTGAGGGTGTCAGGAACCAGACTATCAGGAACACATCCAACATGAAGTCTGGACCCGAAAACAAAGACCTCTGAGCAGAGTTCAGAACCCTTCAAAAACCTTGAATGTACTCTGAGATCCGAAGACCCTGAAGGTGTCGCAGCTGTAGATAAAGTTCTTCTGTTGAGTGTTACCGTAACAGAGACAACCATGAGGATCAGATGGTCCTTTAGACCGGACTCACCTCAGTGTCCTCAGCTCACAGCTCGGCTCAAACCACACTTCAGACAGGTGTCCGACCCCCTCATCTGTGAGCTGGTTCCTGGACAGATCCAGGACTCTCAGGTGGGCGGGGTTGGACTTCAGAGAAGAAGCCAGGGAAACGCAGCCGCTCTGTGAAAACCGACAGCCGGACAGTCTGATGGAGAAACAAGAGTTTGATTATCGGTGAAGATGTTCCACCTGAATGAAAAGACCTTCGAACACGAGATTCTGACCCACTGAATCCTCCAGGTCCGGTTTCACCTGCACCAAAACTAACTTGACTTTCCAGCCATGATGATTCAGACCTTCACCCAACATGGGCCAGGCTCCACAGACTGACTGTGCTCCCACCAGAACCCCCATTTCTGACCCTGCAGAACAAGTTCAGAGGGAATCCCTACAGAACAGTACCAACCATAAACTGGTCTCCTTCCATCTTGGCAGAGGGCTGGGCGATAAAATGATAACAAGGAATATTAAGAATTAATTTCCCTCAATATCAATATAAAACACGATCAATATGCTTTTCAATAGTCGTCATTCTGACATGTTTTGGTCGACTATACGAACAGCCAATGAAAAGGGGCGTGTCTCCGGGTCTGAACCAATCATGTTCTGAATTAGAACCAAGTATCAACCAACTGCAGCGTCGTAGCAGACAGCAGCTCCACCCAACCATAGCACTTTAACAGGTGAAGCCGACAGCACTGTTGGTGAGAAACAAAGAAAATGAGTGCTACCCCCGACAGAAATGACCATGAAGGCTCAACAGATGACCACATCAATGTCAACCACAACACTGGCGTTAGGAAAACGTCGGTGGTGTGGAGGTATTTTGGTTTTTGGAGGTCGGACATGAAGCAGAGTGTAAAAACTGGAGAGACAGAAATATCCACATCCACAGGGAAAAGGCCTTCATAAAAACAGGAGTGTATCTTCTGAATTATCCAGGATCTTGTTTCTCACGTTTCTGTTACGGCTCACCTCAGCGTTTCCACTTTGCAGACCGGATTCCTCAGCAGACCTGAAATCTGTTCCACTCCACCATCACCGAGAACATTCCCCCCCAGGTCCAGTTCCTTCAGGCGGGCAGGGTTCAGAGCTGAAGCCAGAGCTGCAGCAGTTTCTTCTCGTAGGTTTGTGTTGAAAAGACTTTGAGAGAAAAAAAAAAGTTTTTTCAGTTTCAGAAATCATAAAGTTTGTTGGTTTTGTGAGAACTGGGCTCAGGAAACCTTTCACTCAAATCTCTGTTCCTCTTTATTTCTCTACCAGCTGCTCCAGACCTTCTAAACTTCTACACTTCTCTCTCTGAAAGCCAACCCAGTTCTCTGCTGGTGGTGGTTGGACGTGTGCAGCAGGAGACCAGATTCTACAGTCGGCATTAGAACTTTCCAGCAAACTAAATCCTCATCAGAATAACCGAAGAAAAGAAAGAAAGGGACACAGGAGGAAACGAGCAGAACATCTCCAACCAGAGCAGAGCGGAGTGACCTCCAACAACCTCCATCTGATGTGTCTCATTCCTCAGCTGTTAGTCCAGTAATCAGCTGGGTTCAGGTTCAGGTTCAGGTTCAGGTTCAGGTTCAGGTTCAGAAATCAAAGTGTTTGTTCAGTTCTGCTCAGTTTCCAAAGGTCTGAGGGTTCGATACCTTTACAGCTCCTAAACTAGTGGGACTGTTTCCTCACCACAATCTACCTAAAGGTGCAGTTCCTGCAATGCCACACCCACATAACCTGCAGAGAGGACAGAAACTGGGTTACCAGGCGTGCAGAAGAAATGCTCTAAAATACTGGAGAAGTTTGCAGAGGAGAGTCATGGTCCCCCGAGAAGGACTTCAGGGCAAAGTCCAACTGGGTTCTGAAAAATCTCACAGACAGTCAAGGATGTCTCTTTCTTGCTCCTCAGAGGATGGGCCCTTTAGATTTGACAGGGTCCAGAACCGTTCCTCTATCACCAACCCTTCGGACTAACTCTACAACGTACTCTAGTCCACCAACTAACAGGACTCTTGGGGGTCTGATAGGGTGGACAGGCCCCCCAACAAACAGCTGAAATGGTCTTTTCCTGCCATGTAAAGGATTCTGGGTTTTAACCAGTCAGTCGGTGACGAGGCCCGCTAACAAAACAGATCATCAAACTGGACGGTACCTCAGCGTTTCCAAAGAACATCTGTTGAGGATCTCTGAGAGAGGCTCCAGTCCTTCATCGCAGAATCTGTTCTTGCTGAGATCCAGCTCTCTCAGGTGTGAGGGGTTAGAGGTCAGAGCTCGGGCCAAAGATTGACATCCCTCTTTCGTCACGCCACAGTCACTTAAGCTAAAAGAAAAAAAAAGGGTCAATGTTGGGGGCGAAAATAAGAGCAAATACTGGTGAACCTTTTCACTGTGCAGAGAGACGTCTAAACGACACCAATTCAGGTCGCTGAAGGTGCAGACTGTTCCTCCAGACAACGTCTTTTATCGACGTCTACATAACATTCTTTTGGGGACGAGTTGTCATCCAAATGTGGTCTTTGTGGTCGTCTTTTCTACATCAAACTCATTTTAGACATCGTTTTATACCGTCCTGCTTTAAACAGATAAATGTTAATTATCGAACATGAAATCCTCTTTTTCCAGGTGTGAATGTTCGTGGAGCTTCCTGCGAGGAGTCGTTAACGACCCTTTCAGGTTAACGACTCTCGGGGACACACCCACAGATGGGTTTCTATGACCCATTCTTTTAACTCGTCCCAGTCGTTGTCTGTCCCCCTTCTCCAGTAAGATAAATATCTGCTCCTCACACCAGCAATATTTAGAACTGAAAAAGCTTCTTGGATAAGAGGAGAAACGTCTTCTCAACTCGACACAGTCTAGTCGCCTGTTTTTGGAGTCTTCAAGAAAACCATGACCTGGATGAATGAGAATCTATATGGACACCCCCTAAACCTGAATCTGGGTGTCATGATGGATGACCAGCAAACCCTTTAGGGCCATGATTGCTTGGTCGTACTAATTTGTCATCGATACCGTCAGGAGGATCAGACCGACCTGACAGAGTAAAAACTGAAGACTCAGCTCTTCCAGGAACACTTAGACACAGCTCTGCTCCTCTGTAGACCCTGAACCCCAACACAGTCCTGCTTCTGAGACACTCTTTGACCAAGTCTTCGTGGCATTAGTGATGATGATGATGAAGTTCCATGGTGACGAGGAGCTGTTAGTTGCCATGGTAACGATGAACTGAGAACTGTGTGTCAGCACTGTGGCTCGCTAACATGTTTCTATCAGTCTAGACCTTTAATCGTTGAACTGATCGTCAGATGTTCTCAAGGTTGTAACATAGTCAACTGTAGGAGAGTACAACAGCTGCACTTACACGAGCTTCTGGAGTTTGCAGTTGGGACTTTGCAGACCCTCAGCCAGCAGTGCCATTCCAGTGTCCCGAAACTTGTTTCTGCTAAGGTCTAAGGCCACCAGAGAACAGGACTCACTGCTGAGGACTGATGAGATGTCCCGACAGCTCCTGTCAGTGAGCCCACAGTCATCCAACCTGAAGTGGGAAGGAAGAGCTGTTGAGAAGAACACAACCTGAGACTTCTGGAGGATCTGGTTTTCAATGAGGTCAAATACTCACAAAGCAACCTTTGATTCTTTGAACACATGCAGCAGCCTCTCCAGAACCTCCTCTGATCTGGAGAACTTCTTCAGGTCAAAGAGATCCAGGTCTTCATATGAAACCAGCAGTAGATAGGCCAGAGCCGACCAATGTTGGGGTAAGAGTTTACTAACATCTCCCGAGTTCTGGTACTGTTGGACTTGCTTTACAAGAGTCTGGTCCCCCAGCTCATTCAAACAGTGGAACAGATTGATTCTCTGCTCATGATAGGACAGTCTCCTGATCCTCTGATGGATGTAATGGATTGACTCCTCGTTGCTTCGTGGACCCCCTGCTTCAAATCCAAACACTTTCTGAATGAGCCTCTGGTTGTTATCTTGAGAAAGACCAAGCAGGAAACGTAAGAACAAGTCCCACTGTCCCTTCTTGCTGTCCAAAGCCATATTCACCGCATCCCTGTGGAGGAGGAGGATTGAAGGTTCTGTCCTTTCCTCATCCGTCTTGCTGGGAAGGACGTTTTCTCCACTACAGATGAAAGTCTCCAAAACATAAAGAGCTGCCAGAAATTCCTGGACACTCAGATGTATGAAGCAGTACATCTCTTGTTTGTGAAGACCATATTCCTTTTTGATGATCTGTGTGCAAACTCCTGAATAATCTGCTGCTTGTTTCAGGTCAATGTCATATTTTTCCATGACCTTCCCATCAAAGATCATGTTGCCCACCCGCAGTTGTTCAAAAGCGAGCTTTCCCAGCTTCATGATCAGCTCCATGTCAGTCTTAGGACCATCATAATCCTTCTCACAGGTAATCTGTGTCTGAACAATCAGGAAGTGTGTGTACATTCCACTCAGAGTCTTGGGAAGTTCACCTGGTTGTGGTTTTGTCAGAAGACTCTGAAGAGTTGTTCCTGAAATCCAACAAAAGATGGGGATGTGGCACATGATGTAGAGACTTCTGAGGGGCTTTGAAAGTAGATGTTTTAAGATCTTCTTGGCTACCTTCTTGTCTCTCACCTGCTTTTGCAGGTACTCCTTTTTCTGCTCATCGGTAAAGCCTCGTACCTCGGTCACCCTGTTGATGAATTCAGGGGGGATCGTTGTGCATGCCGCTGGTCTACCTGTGATCCAGATTGAGGCTTGATGCAGGAGTTTACCTCTGATCAGGTTGGTCAGAAGGACATCCACTGTGGTAGGCTCTGTAATACTACGACATATTTTGTGTTTGTTGAAGTTCAGAGAGAGTTTGCTTTCATCCAAACCATCAAAAATGAATAAAATACCGAAACCTTCATAGTCCGCAGCTTCCAAGTCCTTCACTTCATCGAAATTGTCTCCAATTAACTCCATGAGACTCCATTCTTTATCTTGACTTAAATTCAACTCTCTGAATGTGAATGGAAATAAAAACTGGATAGTTTGGTTGGCTTTCCCTCTCGCCCAGTCCTGAGTGAATTTACGCACAGAGACAGTTTTTCCGATGCCAGCGATCCCCTTGGTCAGGACTATCCGGGGCGGGTCGTCTTCATCTGGTAGAGGTTTAAAAATGTCATTGAGGATGATTTTCTTCTCCTCACCTGAACTTCTGTGACGCTGGAGTTCAGTCACTTCATGTTCACTGTTGACCCCCCCACTCTCCCCTTCTGTGATGTACAGCTCAGTGTAGATCTTGTCTAACGGAGACGATGATCCGGTATCTTTTGTGCCTTGAAACAAGTTCCTCGTTTCAGTGTCGAGGAAAGATTTTAGTGACGCTCGGCACTTTGGGATGTAATCTGGAAGATGAATAAAACTGTAGTTAGAAAGTTCTGCATCTGTTCAAGTGTCTGAGAACAAAACCACATAACCAGACCCTGAATGTACCAGAACCAGATTTGATGGGGACTTGGTTTTGGTGGGAATTCTTTGGATGGATCTGTGTGATCTTGAGCGCCATCGATCAGATATTTGAAGGCTAACACTGAGTTCACACCAAGCATGAATAAAAATATCTACTCACTTAAAGGTGGGGTCGGCCGGAACCCGTTAAAGAAGCATCTTTTTATTTTGTGGTTTTAATACAAATAATCTTCTAATATCAGTCAATAGTTATTAGTTATTGATTATTTGGTAATATATCGATATCTCTGTGTTCTCTTCTGTCTGTGTCGTCAACATTTGAACATTTTTGAGCGGTCCGCTCTTTCTGACTGTAAACAAAGCCGTTCTCCACCTCCTCTAACCTGATTGGTTGTGAGGCAGACGCTGCTCCCCAGTGTCGTTCAGGAGCCCAAACAAAGTTAGCGTGCTACAATATCGGACAGTAGAAACCAACCAGAAAGTTCGGAAAATTGTCCGAATCCTCCTTTGGCCACGACTGCCGACACAAGCAAGAAAACAAAGTAAATACCGGAGACTCTGGAGGAATAACGGGCGCTTAAAACGGAGGTAGACCGGACAAGAGCTAAAAAGCCGGGTCAACATAAACCATGGGGGACGCTTGGGGATCTTGGTGACCCTGTAACCTTTCTGCTGGACAGGTAAACCGCTTTAACAAAGTAAGACAAGTGTCTGTAACAGAAGTGTTTCTTGTCAAACGGACCTGCTGTAGCGTGTTGTAGCGCCATCGCTAAACTGTCCTCCCTCGGGTCCTGGACTATGTCACTTTATCCTCGTTGTAGAAGTCCTGCAAACATTGTGTTTGCTGGTAGTCTGTTGGCATCTACAGTAGCACCAATGCTTTTGACTTTCACCTTGACTGGGCCCCATTTGTAATGATCTGAAGGATTTATCTGCATTATATCTGAATTTAACTGGAACGATACGAGCGAGCAGGAGCGTCTGTTTGTGGGCGGGGCTTGAGGGGAGAGGAGGAGCTGAGGGGGAAACTGTGGACTTAGAGAAGGCCTACGACCGTGTCCCTAGGGGAATCCTGTGGGGGGTGCTCCTGGAGTATGGGGTAGATGGTTCCTTATTGAGGGCCGTCCAGTCCCTTTACCAAAGGAGCACGAGCTCGGTCCGTGTAGCCGGCTGTGAGTCGGACTCGTTTCCAGTGAGAGTTGGACTCCTCCAAGGCTGCCCTTTGTCACCGGTTCTGTTCAGAACCTTTATGGACAGAATTTTTAAGGCGCAGCCGGGGGGGTGGAGGATGTCCAGTTCGTTGAGCAGTGACCTTCAGCTCTTGTTGGGGCGGTTCACGGCTGGGATGAGAATCAGAACCTCCAAGTCCGAGGTCATGGTCCTCAGTCAGAAAAAGGTAGATCACCTTCTCCAGGTCAGAGGGGCGGTCCTGTCTCAGGTGGAGGAGTTCAAGTATCTCAGGATCTTGTTCATGAGTGTGGGTAGGATGGAGCGGGAGATCGACAGGCGGATCAGAGCGGCGTCAGCAGTGATGAAGACGTTTAACCGATCAGTGGTGGTGAAGAAAGAGCTGAGCCGTAAGGAGAGACTCTGGATTTACCGGTCGATCTACGTGCCGATCCTCACCTATGGTCATGAACTTTGGGTAATGACCGAAAGAACAAGATCGCAGATACAAGCGGCTGAAATGGGTTTCCTCCTCAGGGTGTCCGGGCTCAGCCTTAGAGATGGGGATGGGGAGATCTCGTGGTCGGCCCAGGACCAGGTGGAGGGATTATATCTCTCTCCTGGTCTGGGAGCGCCTGGGAATCCCCCCGGAGGAGGAGCTGGTGGAAGTGGCCGGGGTGAGGGCCGTCTGGGCTTCCCTCCTGAAGCTCCGCGACCCGGACCCGGATGAAGCAGAAGAAGACGATGACGACGATGATGATTTATTCATGTTTGGTGTGAACGCACTTTTAAACCGATGCGGCTCTTTAAGAAAAAACATAAACGGTACCTTTATTTTCCGGAGGAGCAGGATCTTCTGGGGGAGTGGAAGAGTTCACTGAAAGAGAAATATCGACTGAGATAATCAAACATTTAAAAGCCTTTCAGTGACTCGTTTCCATGAGTGAAGAAAAACACACAAACACGGACTCCATAGTTTTCAACATTTACCGTTTACATTCATATTCACGTTCCCCTGTACGTGGACTCCACTGATCTGAGGAGCGAAGGCAACACTTCCATCCTGGGCGGTGATCCTTGATACTGTCCTTTGAGTTTCTAATAAAGAAGACGAGCTGTTACTGATTTTCAGCTTTGAACCAGCTTCACAGAAAAACCTCTTAAACTCAAACTGGTGTCCGTGAAAAACCTTGAGCCCTGCACTCTCGTAACCGGGTCAAAACATCAAGAACTTAGAGTCCGGTGTCTGTGTTCTGACAACTCTTTGTCCATTGAACTACACAGTTTATTCAAGGGTGGATTTCAAGGGTGGTGTTCTGGTTTGCACATATTTACATCGAGGTTTACGAAAGATGAAACAGAGAATTTAGAGACTCGCTGAAGCTCGTCTGATAGACCGGCGTAAAAACTGGTTCAACAGGTGAGTACACGCCTGTGTGTGTGTGTGTGTGTGTGTGTGTCTGTGTGTGTGTGTATAACTGTGTGTGTGTGTGTGTGTGTGTGTGTGTGTCCGCCCTCTTTGTTCCAGATACTCATCATCGTCTCTTATCTTTGCTGGAATAAACTCTGACTGTTTGGAGACAAAGTTCTGCCTCAGAGACGTTGTGTTGAATCCTACCGTGGTCTGATCTATCAGGAACTCTTTGACTGGTCTTGTTTCCCATCATCCCCTGCTTCAGCGAGCTCCTCCAACTGAAACAGAAAAGATCTAAAACCACAAAGACAGAGCGGCTCAATCCGCAGAACTTTCTTCTGTCTTCATCTGACCGTCAGGGATCCTCCATCTGAACAGAAAAGAACATCCATCTCCTCTCCACTTCCCCGTCAGACTCTTATTTTTGAGGAAGCAGGAAATGAACTGTAATAGACCCGCCCTCCTGTGCCGTGATTGGCTGCCTGGTACTACTGAGCTGTGATTGGATAGAGAAGTGAGAGTTTCTCAGTTTTTCAAAGATTATGAGCACAGACCTTTCCCTCCTGTCAGTCCTTATTGAACCTTTCATTTCTGACCGTCTCCTAAATCAGTGAAGACTTTAGATCTTTGACAAAACCCTGTCACCTCTGATTGGCCCTTATGTGTGTGTCTGTGTGTATAACTGTGTGTGTGTGTGTGTGTGTGTGTATAACTGTGTGTGTGTGTGTGTGTGTGTGTGTGTGTATGTATGTATACTGTGTGTGTGTGTGTGTGTGTGTGTGTATAACTGTGTGTGTGTGTGTGTGTGTGTGTGTGTGTATGTATGTATAACTGTGTGTGTGTGTGTGTGTGTGTGTGTGTGTATGTATGTATAACTGTGTGTGTGTGTGTCTGTGTGCGTGTTTGTGTGTGTGTCTGTGTGTGTGTGTGTAGTGTATAACTGTGTGTGTGTGTGTGTGTGCATAACTGTGTGTGTGTGTGTGTGTGTGTGTGTATAACTGTGTGTGTGTCTGTGTGTGTGTATAACTGTGTGTGTGTGTGTGTGTATAACTGTGTGTGTGTGTGTGTGTGTGTATAACTGTGTGTGTGTCTGTGTGTGTGTGTGTGTGTGTGTGTATAACTGTGTGTGTGTGTGTGTGTGTGTGTGTGTATAACTGTGTGTGTGTCTGTGTGTGTGTGTGTGTGTGTGTGTGTGTATAACTGTGTGTGTGTCTGTGTGTGTGTGTGTGTGTTCTCAGACAGCTGTCATTGTCAGGACAGTAACTCGACCCCCCCCCCCTCTATATTTAGACCTTTTGTTGTTTTTTTTCGTTCGACTCGGTTCGACTCCTGCTCGTCTGTCGGCATGTGGAAGGTCAAACGTGAGTGTTTTCTGCACGCCACTTCAGTTTTTCTCGCCGTTAAGTTACTCTGTCTGTGTGTGTGATGGTCTGTGTGTGTGTGTGTGTGTGTGTGTGTGTGTGTGTGATGGTCTGTGTGTGTGACAGTCTGTGTGTGTCTGTGTGTGTGTGTGTGTGTGTGTGTGTGTGTGTGTGTCGGTGTGTATCTGCTCTGTAATCTCAGACTCTGGATTAAGATAATCCTGAACCTCCAAACCTAAAAACACGATTTTTACTGAAATTGTGGAATTAAAGCAGAAACATAATCTCAGATTACGGAGGTCAAAACTACTTAAATCCAACAAGATTAAATCGATTTAATTCTCCCATTAAATGACAGAATAATGACTTTACTCTTCAGATTATGAGATTAAATAATAAAGGGGGGGGGGGTATGTTTGATTTTTGTTTATTTTTTTAAAGATTTTATCACTTTTTTTTTTGGATTATTCAAACATCATTTCTCTGTTTTTCTCTTCATTTATATTTTAATTTCTTGTCATTTTCCTTCTTTTTTTCCCGCCTGGTTTCCTTCAACATTCAGACTGATTTTATCGTCAAACTGAGACGTTTCTTCGTTTCTTTGTTTCTTATTTTTTTCACATTCGGTCGTTTTGTGTTTGTTGCAGCTCCGATTGTTTTTCCCAAAGAGACGAGGTACCGGCCCATCCTGGAGGTAAACATGAGGAACGATCATGAGAGAAAAAAGAAGGCGGAGCTAACACTGAAAATAGCACTGAAGCTAATGCTAAAGCTAATGCTAATGCTAACAGCTCTTTGCTAACACAGAGTTTAAAAAAAAAACGACCGATGATCGGAATTTAAAATCACGTTAAAGAGTTTTTATTTTTTCAGTAAATCTGATTTCTGACTCGATCCTGAATCCACCCGTCTGACTCAGATCTCCGTCCGTCTCAGGGTCTGGTTCCTCCTGACCCCATGTCCCAGTTCCACCTGAAGCGGCGCTCACCTGAGGACGAGTTCCCCGACCTGTGCAGGAACTCCACCTGGATGGGACGGATCCTCACGCCCGCCATGTACTGCCGACAGTTTGACCGCTGCACCCACAGCGGGGTCATCTTCGACGACGTGATTCGCCCCGGCCTCGAGGAGCCAGGTGATGTCACTGTGATGTCACTGGGATGTCACTGTGATGTCACTGTGATGTCAGAGGCCTAAAGCGAGGTTTAAAAAAATAACAGATTTAAAGAGACAGTCAGTGATTTCTTCAAAATGGAAATCTATGAATTTTTCCGACGTTTAAACAAAAAAGCGTCCGTGAAGTGACCCTCATGAACACAAATATCTTCCCGCTCCTGTTTGTGTCGAACAATGGTGACGTTTGTCTCATATTGATGACGTAAAGGTCGGATAAACTCGACCTGAGCGTCACACTGCAGTCACATCAGATACAGATCTGATTTATATCCACATACAGAAGAGGGTCGGATCAGAACCAATCAGAACTGAGCTGCAGTCTGAACGTAGACTAGGATAAACTCATATCTCCCTCACTGCAGCTGGGGGGCGCTCTTTGCTCTGTAGTGGGAATCATCATCAAACTCACAGACCAATCAGGAATAACGCTGCGTTCAAGTTACTCCTGAGGTCAGATGTCGGAGCTGAAAATGGCGTCACACCCGAGTTCACAGCGTCTCAGTTACCAAGTCGGAAAAAAAACAAAATCGGAGGTTGAAACAAGATGGCGACATCTACGAAAGTTACTTTAGCGCTCGCCTAATATCCGGACAAGGCGAGGCCACCTCCGATTTTGCTTTTTCTGACTTGGTAACTGAAACTCTGTGAACTCGGGTGTGACGCCATTTTCAGCTCCGACATCCGAGGAAACTCGAACGCTGCATAAAATACTCCAGGAATGCTCATGGGGAGTCTCCCCCTGCTGGCCGTTTAGAAGATTACAGCTATCGGACGCCTCTTAAGAGTCTGTTTCTCCTCATACTCACTCTGTGTTTGTGTGTCTGGAAGGTGATTGGTCGGCTACTTTATCTGTCGGCTGTGCTGCTGGCGACGCCCAGTCCTACATCCTGTTCTGTGACTTTTTTGATCGAGTCATCGAGGCGTTTCACAAACACAAGGTCACGAGTCAGACGCCGGAGAGTGACCTGAACTACGATAACCTGAAGGTAGCAGAGACTCCGAGTTTTAGGAACCTCTCCCTGAAAACCGCGGACTGGCCCTTTAAACGACCCGACGCTCCTCATCTTTGTGCGTCTGTGATTTCAGGGCGGCGATAACTTGGACAGGTCGTACGCCATCAGCTGTGAGGTGAGCGTCATTCGAGCTGTTGAAGACTTCTGCTTCCCGACGCACTGCAGCCGAGGAGAGCGCAGACAGCTCCTCTCACTGGCCAGGAGAGGTACTGCACGTCTCCGTTTACACGAAGCAGCAGGTTCAGGCCGTAACTAAAGAAACAGATAAAATAAGAGACGTACGGAGGCCCTGAAGGACAACTGCACGGGCGTTTCACAAAGTCCAAAAGTATGAGACAAATCCAGGGACATTTTTCAAAATGATTAATAAATAAAATGGGACAGAAAAATTATAAAACACCAACATTTATAAAGATTTTCAAAGAGCATTTCATTCTGTTCACAAATACCCAAAATGTAAAAATATAAAACAAAAACTTGAAGAATTAAAAATACCCGCAAAACACGAAAGAAAAAAAAAAAAAGAAAGAAAAATCCAGAAATGTCTCCGTTTTATGTCGTCGATTCTTTTCTCTTAAAAAAATCTCCTGAATTTGTTTCACAGTAAATTAAAAAAATCGGTTACAGATGTTGAAGATGTTGATGTAATGTCGGAGCACTTCAGGGCCTCCGTACTCTGAGATAGTGAAACAGGGGAGCGCCCTCTGCTGGTCAGGGTTCATGACCTCTGGTGTCTCCTCTGGGTTTCAGCTCTGCAGCGTCTTCAGGAGGAGCTGCCGGGTCGCCTCCTCTCTGTGGAGGATCTGAACCAGGAGCAGCGGACCGAGCTCAAACTCGACTCCCCGTCTGCCTTCCAGCTTCGCACCGGCGTGGCCCGGGATTGGCCGGATGCCCGGGCCGTGTGGTCAGTCAGGTTTCCTCTCCTGTCATCTTTGTTGTTTGTTTCCTCCACTCAGGAGTTGCTGGTCTACCTGCTGCTTTGGTTTTAGAAAGACCGGACCACCGTGGACCAGCGACCCCTGAGAGTTTTAGTCTGTGGAGTCTGTGGAGCAGCTTCCTTTGACCGTCTGAAATACTCAGAATCTGATCAGATACATGTCCTCTGGTCCTTCACTGCAGGGTGAGTGAAGACGGCGGCCTGGTGGTCTGGATCAACATAGAGGACCACCTCCGGCTGGTGTGTACCCGGCAGGACGCCAACATCACAGAGACTTTTAAAAACATCTACAGTCACCTGCAGAAGGTGAGGAGGAGAAACGCTGCAGCAGGAATCAAAAACAGGTTTTCTTCTGTTAAATCTGCTTCTTCTGACCTTCTGAAGCTGCAGGACGTCTACAGAGACCTCCGACACCCGTTCATCTGGAAGCAGCAGCTGGGCTGGGTGACCAGCTCTCCGGCGGACGTGGGGACGGGACTGAGAGTCAAAGTCAAAGTCAAACTGCAGCATCTGCCCGGACACAGACGACTGCAGGACGTCCTGAAGAGACTGAGGATCAGCATGGAAAAGACAGGTACCCAGACCAGGACCCAAGGCTGCCTACGGAGGCCCAGAGGAGCCAAAAAAATGGTTTACCTTTAAAGCTTAAAAACTAAAGATAAAAGTCATTTACAGAAAATTGTTATAATAAGCAGGAAGATAATTTCAGATTAAAAAAGAAACACTTTTATTCATAAGAAATAATCCTGATCAATTTAAAATTTAATTTAAAATCAACCCCATTATAACAGTCTTCACTTACTACTATTATAATAATGATAATAATAATAATACTGATATTAATAATAATAATCACAACAACAGTCATAAAAATTTAATGATGAAAAGTTAAAAATTATAGTAATAATAACAACAGCAATAATAATTAAATGTTAAAAAAATAAAATAATTATAATAATAATAATTACAGTAATAATAATAAATAAATAATGAAATGTTTCAAAATAACAATGATAAAAAAATAATAATAATGATGAAATAATTTAAAGTAAAAAAAATATATAATAATGAAAAGCTTAAAAATATCAATACTAATAATAATAAAATAATGAAAGGTTTAAAATAATGACAGTAATAGTAAAACAGAATAATTACATCAGCAATAATAATAATAATAATAAGTAAAGGTTTTAAAATAATAACTAACGTCTCTAATTGTTTCAATAATGACGGGCTGACCGGGTCGTACCCGGCTCTGCAGACTCTCAGAGAAACATCTGACCATGTTCCAGACCAGGTCAAGAACTTTGAGGGATCCGTCGGGGATTATGTTCCAGTTTAATGTCAACCTGCCGACCTGTAACCAGAACCCTGACATGCAGGTCTGGTTCTGACCCAACATGAACTCTTTCTGGACTCACACTCCAAAGCAGTCTTTTTTTTCAGGCGCCATGGTTCTGCTGCAGTTAAATCACTGTCCAAACGGGGGCGCTGTAACTGTCATCCACTGTCAGATTATTCGTCAAGCTTTTAAACACTCAGCTCAGAAACCTCTTCTTTTCCCAGAATCCCCGGTGCTGTACTGCGTGAGCAACATGGCGACCTTTGGCGTGAGCGAGGTGATGCTGACCCAGCTGGTTGTGGATGGGGTCAAACTGCTCATCACCATGGAGACGAGGCTGGAAGGAGGCGGAGATATTGACGACCTTGTTCCTGCACAGAAGTAGATCTGAATGATGATTGGCTGGAATGAGGAGGAAAACCAACCAATCAGAAGAAAGAGATCGAAAATAATCAAACAGCTTTTACCGTCTCCTAACACCAAGCGCCAGTGAAATCATTCGCTCGGATGAATTACATGTCATGTCAACGAAAAGACACCATTAGACGCTCCTGTTACTCTGGCGGCACGAATGACGCGAATTGGGTGGGAGCTGAAAATGTCTCAACTTGAGCGGATATTAGCATCGCGATAACCAATCAGCATGAAGGTCGACGTATGAAAACAGACGGTTGTTCACTGGTATCTAAAATGGAGGACAAACTGATCATGGCGGTGTGTCGGCGCCCCGAATTATACGACACCTTTTCTTTTAGTTACTGAAACCGGAATAATGAGGTCGCCTGAAGGTCGGTGAGCGAGCGAGGAGGTCGGATTACCTGGTAAATGGTTAAAAACATTTTTCTATCACTTGATCCCGTCGGCTGAATTGGCGAAGATAACTGTTGAAATTACTGTTGACGCGCGAATGAAGCGAGTAAATACTCTTCATTCACACGTCCCGATTCGCGCGAATGAAGCGAGTAGATGATTTTCCTTGCGCTTGGTTTGAGTTACGGAGCGTCGTGTCAGGATGTGTTTCACAGCTGAGGGAATAAAAACAGAATCCTGAAGTTTGATTGATGAACTTTTTATTTGAAATGAATCCATCATGGCTACACTGAACGTCTGCTACGCTCCTGCAGGTGACCAGCCTGATCAGTCAGGGCCGCTCACATGGTACAAGTTACTACCTGCAAACTGAGGTGAAGGTTATTCAAGTAAGAGGTTCAGGTTTACAGTGTCCCACGCTACATGATGGCAGCATCAAATTCAGACCTCCAAACCTCCGTCTCCCAAATCTGACCTGGATTACCTGGACACGCTGAGAAAATGTGAAGGTCCGTCTTAGACCGGTCAGGTGACTAACCTGATGGACATTCACCTCCATATTAGATGGAGATGTTCCATTTTAGCGGCTGGGATGAGAATCAGCACCTCCAAGTCCGAGGTCATGGTCCTCAGTCTGAAAAAGGTAGATCACCTTCTCCAGGTCGGAGGGGCGGTCCTGTCTCAGGTGGAGGAGTTCAAGTATCTCAGGATCTTGTTCAGGAGTGAGGGTAGGATGGAGCGGGAGATCGACAGGCGGATCAGAGCGGCGTCAGCAGTGATGCGGACGTTTAACCGATCAGTGGTGGTGAAGAAAGAGCTGAGCCGTAAGGAGAGACTCTGGATTTACCGGTCGATCTACGTGCCGATCCTCACCTATGGTCATGAACTTTGGGTAATGACCGAAAGAACAAGATCGCAGATACAAGCGGCTGAAATGGGTTTCCTCCTCAGGGTGTCCGGGCTCAGCCTTAGAGATAGGGGAAGGAGCTCGGACACTCGGGAGGAGCTCAGAGGAGAACCGCTGCTCCTCCACGTCCAGAGGAGTCAGCTGAGGTGGCTCGGGCATCTGGTTAGGACGCCTTCTGGACGCCTCCTGTTAGAGGTGTTCCAGACATGTCCCACCGGGAGGAGACCTCGTGGTCGGCCCAGGACCAGGTGGAGGGATTATATCTCTGTCCTGGTCTGGGAGCACCTGGGAATCCCCCCAAAGGAGGAGCTGGTGGAGGTGGCCGGGGTGAGGGCCGTCTGGACTTCCCTCCTGAAGCTGCTGACGATGTTCCAGTTCAGCGTTACAACTTTGGACCCGTTTGGTTGTTTTTAGAAACACGTTGCAGACATTTATTTAAGTTTTATTCAGTCTCTGCAGGATTTTGCCTTCATTTATGGCGAACCTTCACGCTCTGCTTTCACATGTTTGACTCACTTTTTCGGACGTGCGGTCGACGAGACTCTGGGATCCTTCGACCAGGTGAGCTCAGGTGTTCCCTTACTTTAGTGCTACAACATACAGTACAAAGTGTTCCTCTACAACCAGTGATGGAGAACCACAGTGAACGTCCAGGACCTCAACACTAATAAGAGTGAGTGAACGGCTCTGTCGATGTTCAGGTTAGAAAATGGGAAGGAAAAAAATTTATAGAAACTGAAAGAAAATCCACAGATCTTCTCTTTGTCGAAGTCAAGCTATCAGAGATATACAGCAGTCCAATCAGAAGGCAGTATGTGGTGGAGGAGATATGAAGTTTTCAACAATACAGACAAAAAAGGCTTTTAAAAAACTGTTCGGTGATTTTCTATATTTTTCCTCTTGTAAACAAAAAAAAACCTCAAACCAAACTGTAAATCTGCGGTTTCTTCTCTGCAGCTGAGCCTCGCTGTGCTTCAAAAGAGTTCAGGTTCAGCAGAATTTTAAGTTTTACGCCGTGAGAAAGAACCAATAAGCTAAAAGTTAAGAGCTGCTACATGATGGTAAAATATTTAAAATCACCGGACTGGTCCTTTAAGTTTGAAGGGTGTAAATACCAGCGTTTGCTCTGCTGATGGCGCTCTGTCAAAGAGCGCCGATGTCAACAAACAAGAATTGCAACATCACAAAATTAAAGAGTTAGAGAGTCAACACAAATCAAAACAGATCCAAACTGCGCCGGCACATGGTCACCTGGTCAGGTGGCGTTCCATCAGAAGAAGGTCGGAGTAGAAATAAGAAACACATTCTGTTCTGTCAGCTGTTTCTGGAATGGCTGCTGAGCTCTGACGCTGTTCCAAGAGCTCCAGGGTTATTATTGCAAAAATACAAACATCGGCCAGCAGGGGGAGTAAGAGGGCTCACTGCTTCACCAGGTCAGAGGTCACAGGCGTCGCACCCTCTCATAAATAAAACTGTAAATGAACAGACACACCGGCCAACAGAGTCCAGGGACAAAAGCTACGTTTACACTGCAGGTTCTGACGCACAGTTCGGAGTTTTTGTTCAATCCGATCTTTTTGTGCGATCGTTCACGTTACAACAACGAAAGCGTCCGTGAAGTGACCCTCATGAACACAAAGCACAAATTTCTTTCTGCGCCTGTTTGTGTTGTTGAACAACGGTGACGTTTGTCTCATATTGATGACGTAAAGGTCGGATAAACGCGACCTGAGCGTCACACTGCAGTCACATCAGATACATATCTGATTTATATCCACATACAAAAGAGGGTCGGATCAGAACCAATCAGAACTGAGCTGTTCACACTGAGATGAAAACATCAGAACGACCTGCAGTCTGAACGTAGCCTTAGTGCTGTGAACCTGCAGTCTTTCTCACGGCCAGCAGGGGGAGACTCCACCAGCTGTCTGATTCTAGGTTAGAGGAAGAGGATGGTCCCGACTTCCTCAGTAACGTTTCCGCCCTTAGTGACCCTTCACCTCCACCTTTAACTGTGCAACTTTCAGAGTCAAACTGAAGACGTTAACTTGATTCTATTCAAACTCGTAACAGAGTGACGCTAGCGTTAGCTACATTAGCTACATTAGCTACATTAGCTACATTAGCGACTTCACAGAGTAATCTTGTTTGAACCTGTTGAGATTCTCACCTGGAGATATTTGCCACAGGTAACCTCGGGTTAGGTCTAGACAGCTGACATCTTGGCTCAGAAAGTCGTCCAGTGAGCTAGCTTTGTAGATGTTAGCTAAAAGCAGCGAGCAGCGTCCAGTCTGAGACTCTGACCTCCAGGCTTTCCGGTTTTGAACGACTTACTTTGAAGAAACAGGATCATAAATAACCTTCCCAAACTTTTTACAAACTGGAACTTCAACATGTCGAGACTTTCAGATCGTTGAGGACGTTTTCATGGCGGCCATCTTTCTGAGGTTGTGGAACCTTTGTACTTTACTGAGAGAGTGAAAATAAAGCGGGAAATTCCCCCTCATACTGGGGTTAGCATTTGTCTTCATTCCTCGTTAGATGATTTTATCTCGTTAAAAGCTCGGACGCTAAAGTTGCTCTTTGTTATTCATGAACACCTGAATATTTCCCTGATGACTGTTTTTACTCCCAGATTATTCAGGAGGTGAACTACAGAAAACTTTGCTCTTATTACAAAGTTACTCAAAGTGATCCAGGAGCAATTATCCAATTATACGCTAACAAGAAAAGCAGTTTTATATTAAAAAAAAAAAGACTTCAGGGAAACATTTAGTCTAAAAAATCAACCTGGTAACAACAGTCCAAAAATGTAGAGAATAAACTTCATAAATACCAGAATAGAATTGGAAATATAGATTCAAAACTTTATTTTCATTAATTTACCACTAATTTTTGACTTGTATTTTGACTTATATTTCATAACTTTATGACTAATATAGTAAATTAACAAAAAAAAAACAACACTTTTTTGTAAACTTGTTACTATAAGTAAATTTATTTACACAATCAAAAAATGTAACTTTAATTTTTTCAAGTATTTTTTTTTTTTGTTCATTTCTCACTTGTCCAGATTTACAACTTTGATTTCACGGTTTAACTGATTAAAATGACTTTACGATCTGAAGTTCAAATATTGTATTTTTTTCTGTTTTGACCAGAATTTTCATGAATCTATGACTTTTTTTCGCTCCTCTCTAGAAAATTAACCCCAAACGCCGTCCTGATGATTTTCCTTTTAAATTATTCAAGTTTGTAGTTTTTGACTTCATGTGTCGCTCTTTCTGCCTCTTGGTTCCAGTCCAGGACTGTGTTTCTGGTCTTTGGTTTGGAGGTTTGGCTTCAGTGTTCTTTGACCCGGTCTGGTGAAGCTGAGGAAAGTTTGGAGGTTAAATTTTAAACTTATTTTGGAGTTGGAGGGACACGCTGCTGACACGGGTGTCATGACTGCGAGTTTGAAGAAATATGCACTTTGTCTTTTTGAATGTGATATTTTGTTTTTGACATATTAAACAAATTGTTACACAAGTTGTATTTTCTACACCCTGCACAGGCCGACAGTGAACGACAACGATGAATCCGATTCCTCATGGTTACGGTTCGTTTAGCTTCTGAATGAGCTCGTTGGTTTTCTGTGAAGCTCGTTTTGGAAACACGTTGTTGGACACGGTAAAGAAGCGGTGAGCAGGTTAAAACTGTCCGATGTGTGCAGTCAGCTGTTCTGCTGTTGCACTGCTAAAGAAGAGGTGACGTGTCACTCGCTGTTTACTTGCACTCCAGAAACCAGATTAGCATTAGCATTAGCATCGCCAAAAAAATGGAGCATTTGTTTTCATGCACTGCCAGAATAAATGTATAAAAATCCAGATTACATGCCGTCACATTTTCACTGACACACGTCTGCGCAGAGCTGTCGTCATTTTCGGGCTCTTTGGTTAGCATGACTCAGCAGGTTTGTCCTGGACCAATCAGCTTCTACCTGATCAGAAGTTTCTGTTCGACTTTTAAGTTTAGAAATTCCAAGTTTGAGAGGATCTGAGGTGCATCTAAACAGCCACAAACCAACACACACTCTCGACTCGCCGGGTTTCGGCCGACCTCTTTCCATCGTTAGCGTCTTAGCGTCCGTGGTCAGACTCGCTGAGGGAGGAACCTGCTGAACATCTGCGCCATCAGTCATTCATATATTTGGTTTCACTGGCAAACACTTAGTGCTAACATTAAATAGTGAGTTTAGTACGATAAGGTGTTTTTTTGCTGAGTCAAACAAAGGAGTGGTGCCAAACACAAAATGGCCGCCGTCACTTGGTGAGGCGTCATTGTGCGAGGAAAAGGAGCAAAAGTGTTTCTCCCCGTTGTCGGGGTTATTACCGACTATCACAGCCGCAGCTCGTTCGCCACTTTGGAGGCGATGTTTTTGAAGGCGATGGACGTGCCAGAGATCCTTTTAAACCGCACGCCATTGAGGGAGAGGCGGGGCAGTTTGCACACCTCCATCTCCCATTGGACCAGACTGTCCTGTCGGGCGTCGCCGTGCACGCAGAACAACAGGTAGCGTTCCCGCTGCTCGTAGTCGCAGTTGTTGGCGTCCAGAACCCTGCGGATCTCCTTCATCATGTCCGCTGGATCCATGGAGGAAGTGGTCTTCATGCTCCAGGTGAAGCGAAGCGAGCGGGGTTTGGAGTCCCGCCCCTCCTCTTTGGGCTCACCTGAGAAACTCCTGCAGGAACAAACAGAGTGGATGAAGGTGTCAGCGTTTCCAACATGGAGGCCGCTGTTGATGGACTTAAGAAACCAATGGGGGGTGTCGCTGAGACCAAGCCCAGGTTTTAGGGGTCTGTAGTTGGGGGTTGGTGAATTAAACCTGCTGACTGTGGGCTTGGGTATCTAAGACCAGTTCCAGTCTGGAGCTGGTCTGCTATAGTTCCTGTACTTTATTCCCTCTCCTTTAACGATCATGGGGGGTCAAACACTCGCTCTGTCCGGTAAAGAACTCTGTCGTCTGAACGCCGACCTTGAATGTTATTCAGCTAAGATGAGCCCGAGTCTTTGATTCCGTCTATGACTCCGCCCACATGAGTCACATGGCCAGTCACTGTCCCGAAGGCCTTTTCAAGGAAAACCGCAGGAACGAGACCCCCACTAGAGTCGGAATCAAGGACCGACAAAACGGAAGTGGTTCCTCGCCCCGGTCTCATCCCAGCTAGGAACCTCCAAAAGGAGGTGTTTCAGTCCCATGGGTTCAGGACTGGATATGTGCTCCCCAACAGAAGGGTGCCACAAATGTGGGAGGGGTACTTCGGAACTTTTCTCAAATACTGTCTGTAGAGATGAAAAGATCTGTGGGTCGGACTGAACAGAACCGTAAATGGATCTTTTCTTCACCATCATTGAACTTTGCTCCAGACATCTGTTTTTTTACAACAAGTCTGGGTCTGTCGGAGTTCTACAACAGGTCTGGTTCTGGTTCTGTCGGGGGATGCTGCCTGTTCACGGACATTTCTCTACCTCACCATGACAAAATGTCGTCGTTTTGATTTGGTGCCACCGAAACAAAAACTGACGGGCCGATCTCACTCACCTGCGCACAAACTTGGAGGTGATCTTTCCAATGAGAGAGCTGGAGGTTCCACGGCGTGGTGAGGCGGCGTGTTGTGACAGGCTGGGCGAGGCGGGGGGGCCGTTGTAGGTGGCGGGTCGCCGGTCTCGAAGTTGAGCACCATGGAAGGTGGAGCGGCTGGAGGAACCGCGGGGGAAACGGGTCCGGTCAGGTGTGGCGCTGCTGCTGCTGGTGATGCTGAAGGCTGAGGGTGAGGATGGCGGCTGTTGAGGGGAGCTGGGGGGGGGGGGGGTGTAATTCTGTTAGGTCATAAAAATCCGTAGTCATGACAACCGATTGACTCTGATGCTTTCAGACTAAATCACCTCTGATACTCTGCGTTATCATCGATGGGGGGCAGACAGGACTTCATGGGGTGTCCTGACGCCGACATGGATTTGACGTGCCGCGGGCGTGTGGAGGACATGGTTGCCCCGGGCGACGGGGAGGGAGACGCTGCAGGTACCTCAGGTAGACTGAAACAGAGTCAGGTCAGGTGACTGACTGGAGATGTGTGACCTCATCAATCCCAGAATTCCTCTTACCTGCTGTCCTTCCCGTTCTGAACCGCTGCCAGGTGCCGGTCCATGCTGGTCCTGTCGTTCACGTACGTGTTTCTGCGAGTGATGCTCTGGACCCAAAACACAAAAACACTCCAGGATTAGACCACCACAACCAGTCCCCTTTATTAGACCCCCTAACAAGTCTTTAAAGACTCTTCAGCTGGTCCAAAATACTGCAGCCTTTTGGACCAGGTCCTAGTCCTGACCAGAACCAGGAGACCCCTGTATCAGCTCCTCTACACTGGATTCATTCAATTCTTCTTCTGACCTTCAAAGACCTTTATGGTCCAGAACCATCAGATCTCAGAGAGCTCCTAGTTCCCTATGACCCTCCAGAACATTGAGGTCCAAACATGCAGGTCTGCTCATCGTACCCAAAGTGGTCTGGGGTCTGGGTTGTAGAGCCCCTCTCCTCTGGAACCATCTACCAGTCCAGGTTTGGGGGTCAGAAACCCTCTCTACCTTTAAGAGGAGACTTGATACCTAGACCTGGTTTAGGTCTGGATCCGCTCTCTTACGGTCTCTGATCAGAACTTAAACTCGTCCAAATACACGTGTGGGCCACCAGTTAGAACTCTGGAGGAAGAGACCCAGTCCAGTTTGAATCCAGTCCCCCTTTATGAGACTCGGAGGACCGGTTCAAGTTTGGACTCCCACTGAAGTTCTTCTGGTTCTGTTGAGTTCTGAAGGATTTCTGTGGAGCTCTGAGGATGATAGTCATGGTTCTGATCCGTGGACCTAGACTAGTCTTAAGTCTCTCACCCCTGAGGCTGTGGCTGACCTCCTGCGGTCTGGAGCTCCCACAGGTGAGGCCGGCTCCTCCTTCCTGTCACTCTCCATGCTGTTGGCATGACAACGCTTGGTGTAGGAGACAGGTGGGGGGATAGAGGGCGCCACTGAGACAGGAAGAACCACTATGAGCACAGAAGGAAATGAAAACTGGAGTATAAATACGGAGAGTAAACCTCACCATGGTCGCTGAAACGGCGCTGCTTCTGATTGGTTGTGGTGGTGCGAGAGTGGGCGGGAGACTGTCCGGCGCCGTTGATGTCACTGCTGGGTCGTGACCTGTGAACCAGGTTACCACTCGACAGAGAATCACCGCCTTCAAACTGGAGAGAGAGTGAAAACAGGTTCAGACTTCCAGACTGGCTGTTCCCCCTGCTCCCAGTCTTTGGACTGACCTCGGCTAAACCTGGAGACGGGTCTGAAAGGTTCTGAGGAACCACAGAGACGGACCTACAACACAGAACCGGGACTAACCTCTGCATGTTTCCTCCCCAGCAGCAGGTAGACCGCCGTCACCTCGTTGTATTTCTGACCGTCCAACGCCTTCTTGACTTCGTCCTGAGGAAACCCCATCGTCCCCATCAGCTCTAAAACACACACACACACACACACACACACACACACACACACACACACACACACACACACACACACACACGCGGGGTTGGTTTCTGTAATCCCTGATTCAGAATGTAGTTTGGGATCATATGAAGGTCTTCCTTAAAAAAGTCTCTGTCTGGATGGACGCAGATGTTGCTCCTAAACCTGGAGATCTTGTTTAACATTAAAGGGATATTCCGGCGTAAAACTAATTTAGGGTCAAACCCACCGTAACACCGAGGTAGACCCCCCCTCCAGAGATGAATGTTGTCGACCGCTTGCTTCTCTAGTTATACCAACTTTAGTAACGACCGCAGGATAGAAATACAGAGAGCCACGCCCCCAACCAAAACGCCACTCTATAACCACAAATAATGCTCAGAACAGCACCTAACTTCATCAACATCAACATTACAGACTACAGCGGGGTGCCGCAGCTCAAGGAAGAACATTTATGATCATTTCTTTATGGAAATACAATCAGACCGAGACGCTAAGACAGAAGAACTACAGCGTCTGTAAAATGATTAATATGGTGATTATTACTTCAAGGAAATGATAAAGAAATGATCATAAATGTTCTTCCTTGAGCTGCGGCACCCCGCTGTAGTCCGTAATGTTGGTGCTGTTCTGAGCATTATTTGTGGCTATAAAGTGGCGTTTTGGTTGGGGGCGTGGCTCTCTGTATTTCTATCCTGCGGTCGTTACTAAAGTTGGTATAACTAGAGAAACAAGCGGTCGACAACATTCATCTCTGGAGGCGGGGTCTGACTCGGTGTTACGGTGTGTTTGACCCTGAATTAATTTTACAGCAGAATATCCCTTTAATGGAGCCTTCACAGATGTGGGAGATACCCAGGACATGGACTCTGATGATCCTTAGACCATCAGGGATGCTGGATTTGGACTGGGAGCTGAGAACAAACCAGGTGGACCCTCTACTCTTTAGAGAGGAGGATGTAGAGTCCAGGATTCAGATCCATCAGCCCACAGGTCAGATTTCCTCAGTCCTTCAGTCCACCTTAGATGGACTCAGGTCCAGAGAAGTCTGGGGATCTTGCTCAGGCTTTTTTCTTTTTAGCATTACAACTTTGGACCCGTTTGGTTGTTCCTCTAAGAACTTTGGACCCGTTTGGTTGTTCCTCTAAAGAACTTTGGACCTGTCTGGTTGTTCCTCTAAGAACTTTGGACCTGTTTGGTTGTTCCTCTAAGAACTTTGGACCCGTTTGGTTGTTCCTCTAAAGAACTTTGGACCTGTTTGGTTGTTCCTCTAAAGAACTTTGGACCTGTTTGGTTGTTCCTCTAAAGAACTTTGGACCTGTTTGGTTGTTCCTCTAAAGAACTTTGGACTTGTTTGGTTGTTCCTCTAAGAACTTTGGACCTGTTTTGTTGTTCTTCTATACGAACATTTTTTCAAACATGTTTCTGAAAATGGAGCAGATCTTTCTTCGTGTGAATTGAAGAGTCTCAGTTTGGATCTTGGTTCTGGTGTTTTTTGCTCTGTTCTCTGTGTGAGTTTTCATGAGTCTGACCGATGCGTTTGAGGTCGTTGAAGTCCTGTTCTGGTTCGTTAAACGGTTTGAGCTCCTTCTCGTCGTAGCCGGCGTTCATCCATCGATCTCTCATGATTTGCTGTAAAAACGGATAAAAAGTTGATAATTACGACAAAAACGAACAAATAAAGTCTGAACAGGAATGAAAATTAGATATAAAAGTCGGTATGAGAGGTCACTGGTTAGAGGTCACTGGTTAAAGGTCACTGGTTAGAGGTCACTGGTTAAAGGTAACTGGTTAAAGGTCACTGGTTAATGGTTACTGGTTGGAGGTTACTGGTTAGAGGTCACTGGTTAAAGGTTACTGTTAGAGGTCACTGGTTAGAGGTCACTGGTTAATGGTTACTGGTTAAAGGTTACTGGTTAATGGTTACTGGTTAAAGGTTACTGGTTGGAGGTTACTTGTTGGAGGTTACTGGTTAAAGGTTATTGGTTAAAGGTTACTGGTTAGAGGTTACTGGTTAAAGGTTACTGGTTAAAGGTCACTGGTTAGAGGTCACTGGTTAAAGGTTACTGGTTAGAGGTCACTGGTTAAAGGTTACTGGTTAGAGGTTACTGGTTAGAGGTCACTGGTTAAAGGTTACTGGTTGGAGGTTACTGGTTAAAGGTCACTGGTTAAAGGTCACTGGTTAAAGGTTACTGGTTAGAGGTTACTGGTTAAAGGTTACTGGTTGGAGGTTACTGGTTAAAGGTTACTGGTTAAAGGTCACTGGTTAAAGGTCACTGGTTAAAGGTCACTGGTTAAAGGTCACTGGTTAAAGGTTACTGGTTGGAGGTTACTGGTTAGAGGTCACTGGTTAAAGGTTACTGTTAGAGGTCACTGGTTAGAGGTCACTGGTTAGAGGTCACTGGTTAGAGGTCACTGGTTAAAGGTTACTGGTTAAAGGCTACTGGTTAAAGGTAACTGGTTAAAGGTCACTGGTTAAAGGTTACTGGTTGGAGGTCACTGGTTAAAGGTTACTGGTTGGAGGTCACTGGTTAAAGGTCACTGGTTAAAGGTTACTGGTTAGAGGTTACTGGTTAAAGGTTACTGGTTACAGGTTACTGGTTGGACTCCCTGATGCTGGTTTTTACCTGCAGGCTGCCTCGTTTGCTCGGGTTCAGCACCAGCAGCTTCTTCAGCAGGTTCTCACAGTCTGTCGACATGTAGAAAGGGATCCGGTACTTTCCTCTGAGAACTCGCTCCCTTAGCTCCTGCACACACACACACACACACACACACACACACACACACACACACAGTTGTGTGGTTAACCAGCGAGCCAGCACGCTGACTATTTTGAGGCTACTGAGCTTCTTTGAGCGTTTAAATCGGAAACTTAGCTCAGTCCGTGCGCTAAATAGCTAATATGCTAAATAACATTAAATAGCATGTGAGCTAAGGTGCCTAGCTTGTAAGCTTACATGTTTTTATTACTAGCTAGCGTTAGGAAGCGCCCAAACGAGCGAGCGAGTGTAACTCAAAAGTGTGCTAAATAGCGTATGAGATGTTGAGCTCGAGCGCTAACTCGTCTTTTATTAGCCTGTGAGCTTACAGCTGTTTAGCAGCTTAAATTAGGTTTATAGCTAACGCGCTAACTAGGTTGTTTAAGCTAATAAGTAAACAACTGCTGACTAGTTACCCAGCTAGCTACAGTTTAATCACTAAAGCGCTAACTCGTCTTGGTTGGCTAGCAAGTAAGAAAAGGGGTGATTAAATTCCTGATGTGATTTGTCTGCGATTAGGCTAACGGCTGTTTCATAGCCAGTAAGCTAACCGAAGACCTAGAGTACTGCAGTTAGCCACAATCACAATTAGCTTGTAAACTTAGCGCTATGAGCCAAAGAGCAGGTTCATGGACTTGGTGAACCTGATATTAACCTCAAATGAGATGAGCTGAGACTCTCAATCAGGAACCCAAAACTCCGCCCACTGATAGCTCCGCCCACTGAGCGCTCGCTCCTGTGTGAAACCTGAAACCACGTTTAAGACTTCCTTCCTGTTACCTTCAGGTTTTGTCCGTCAAAGGGCAGCGAGCCGCTGACCAGCGTGTACAGAATCACGCCCAGACTCCAGACGTCCACCTCCGGCCCGTCGTACTTCTTCCCCTGCAGGGTCACAGAACTACATTACCCAGCAGCCACTGCTCTACAGCACACATGCACACAGTTCCTGCTGATTGTAAGCCCCTCCTCTAATCCTGCACAACTTTCTTTCATTTTCCTGAGAAACAAACTCGGTGCGTCTGTCACAGAATTCTTATTTCAGCCTCAGGGGGGCGCTCTTCGAATCTAAGTAAACCTGACATTTTTTATTCATGTGTTATTAAAAGTCTTTTTTAAACAAAAAACGTGTTTCTCTTCAAAATGACATTAAAACTCCTAAAAACGAGCCTTTCTACAGTTACATATTCATCCTCCTCAGTTTCCTGTCTTCTTCTGTAAGTCCAATCAGCTGCACCACTCGACTCACAGCAGGTGTAGTCGTGCAGGTGTGTGGTGGGAGGAGCTTATAGTTCACCTGGAAGAGTTCAGGAGCAGCGTACGGAGGAGATCCACAGAAGGTGTCTAACTTGCTGCCCAGCGTGAACTCGTTACTGAAACCAAAGTCGGCAATTTTGATGTTCATGTCGGCGTCCAGCAGCAGGTTCTCCGCCTGAGAGTCACAGAGAGAGTCACAGAGAGAGTCACGACAGAGCGAACACGCTACAGCGAACCTGAACCTCGCAGTCAGAACGTTCACATGACACTGAAGAAGAACGAATTATCGCCATATTCCGATAATTGGAGAGACACTGAACATCACAGTGACTCCTCAACGGGAGAGGAAGGAAAAGACGGCTGTTTGAAGGAGAGACAGAAGAGAAGTTCACGGGAGAGTCAGAGAGTCAGAGAGTCAGAGATTCAGAGAGTCAGAGAGTCAGAGATTCAGAGATTCAGAGTCAGAGAGTAAGAGATTCAGAGAGTCAGAGAGTCAGAGGAGTCAGAGAGTCGGAGAGTCAGAGATTCAGAGAGTCAGAGATTCAGAGATTCAGAGAGTCAGAGATTCAGAGAGTCAGAGAGTCAGAGTCAGCGATTCAGAGAGTCAGAGATTTAGAGATTCAGATTCAGAGAGTCAGAGATTCAGAAGAGTCAGAGATTCAGAGAGTCAGAGAGTCAGAAGAGTCAGAGATTCAGAGAGTCAGAGATTCAGAAGAGAAGAGTCAGAGATTCAGAAGAGTCAGAGAGTCAGAGATTCAGAAGAGTCAGAGAGTCAGAGAGTCAGAGTCAGAGAGTCAGAGAGTCAGGAGAGCCCTTCTGTTGAAGCATTGTGAACAAACATGGAGAGGGGGCGGAGCCATATGACCAAATTGAAGTTTCTGAAGACAGTGATCCTGTCTGAACTTCTGAACACACACCTGTCTCTACTCTCAGCTGAACCGCGACACTGTTTCAGACTTTAATCCGAACTTTAATCTGAACTTTAATCTGAACTTTAGTCTGAACTTTAATCCGAACTTTAGTCTTAAATTTACAGGATTATCAAAGAAGAAAAGTCACAGATTGTACCTTTAAGTCTCGATGTACAATCCTCTTCTGGTGACAGTACTCCACCGCCGAGACGATCTGACACAAACAAAGACACCGAAAACGTTAAAGAATCGAAGAATCACGAACTTTTCTTGGAGTTCCAGCTGAGGAACTGAGAACGTACCCATCAGCCCCTGACTGCAACACAGAGGATTATGGGAAATAACCGACTTGATGGCGTCACTGATGTGAAAAGCTCTCACCTGGCGAAACTTGGCTCTGGCCTCCTTCTCCTTCATTCGACCATGAGCGACCAGGTAGTCAAAGACTTCACCTGGAACACAGACGGACAGGTGAAGAGACAGGTGTGTGGACAGACAGGTGTGTGGACAGACAGGTGTGTGGACAGGTGTGCAGACAGGTGATTGGCTCGTACCTCCGCTGGCGTACTCCATCACCAGGTAGAGCGTCTTGTCGGTCTCGATCACCTCAAAGAGTTTGACTGGAACCAAAAACAAACGGGTCAGTTCTTCAGAAACACAGAGGAGGACCAGGAAGAGGACGGACTGATGAGGTCAGAAACAGGAAGTGCTGATCCAGACCACCAAATAAGGTCGGTCCAACAGAGTCCTCCTGTCCGTCTGAGGGTTTCATTTCAGATCTTTAACGGGTTTGACTTCAGAACCAGATCAGACCAGGGGGTCCGGTTTTAAGGAGGAGGAGTAGACTCACCGATGTTTGGGTGGTTGAGGATCTTCATGACGCTGACTTCCCTGAAGAGCTGCAGGGACAGAAACCAAAACCATGACAACAGACCAGAACATCATCACAGGGTCAGGGGTCAGGGTCAGGGGTCAGGACGTACCTTCTGCAGGCTGGTGGGGTTGAGTTGAGTTTTGTCGATGATCTTGACGGCGACCTACGAGAGAAGAGAAGAGAAGAGAAGAAGTCTGGGTCACACTGAGACCCTGATCCATCAGAGACCTGGGAGACCCTGGTTCCGGGGTTAATGAGGACCTCCAGAGACCACCAAGTAAAGGTCAGGAATCATCATCTGGACCTCTCTGGACCTGCAGAGACCCTCACAGCTCCTCAGTCTGACACCAAACAGGACCAGACCCCCTGAAGCTGCTGAGCTCTGCAGGTTCTGGACCTTCAGACCCTGGTTTGGACTCAAAGGAGCTATCTGGACCCAGAATCCAGACCTTCAGTTTCAGGACTCCAGTCGTTGTTCTCGGTCATCTTCATGTTTCTTCTTCTGTGAACTTCTAGTGTCTCTGGTTGATGATGAGTCCATGTTTTATCTACGACGGTTTGTTGATGTTCTGACCTTCTCTACTTGTTGAACATCTATAACCCGTCTAATTAATCACTCTGTCGTTTACACCAGGGCCCGACTGATACGGATTTTTTGGGGCCAATGCCGATACGATTATTAGGGGGGAAAAATCCGATTATCGATTAATCGGCCGATTTGAAGTTATAAAAAAATTTACACTACAGGCCAAAAGTTTGGAAGCACGGCCGTTACAGGCCGATCAGTTGGGAGTAACTTCAAGTTTTTGTTCACAATGTTTTTTTAATCCAGCATGAGTTTGATGTATTTTGGGATGTATTTACTCCATGATCAGATGTTGCTTTCATGGAAATTCACATTTTACTCCATTTACCTTTAGATAAACATCGATGTTAACAGACCATTGATAAATATATGTCAGCAAAAATAATAATAAGGGCTTAGTTTTAGGGTTGAGAACATTTGCAAGAGTCACAACTTCAGTGGAAAAGCAAAAAACAAAAACAAATCACAGTTGGATTATTCACTTCAACTTTTTGTCTTTTGAGAGTCTGCAGACAAAAATCCTAATAAATCTAAACTGTGTTCGAACTACCGCAGAAATGACCAGAAAGAAGCAACTGAGTAAAGAAACAAAAGTACAGATTTGTACATCGAGGAAAGAAGGAAACACAGAAAGAGAAAAACGCCTAAAGGTGTTTAACAAAGGAGTCGACTACACTCTGAAGAGACGAGAGGAACCTGGAAGTTCTGATGATAGAAAAAGACCAAAGAGAGTTTCTACAAAAGCAGAGGATAAACAGAGCATTGTCACCAGGAAGAGAGAGAGAGAGAGAGACAGCACCAAAAATAAGGGAGGAAATCAACATGACAAGGTCGAAACCCATATCTCTGACAACCGTGACGTTTGAGAAAGGCTGGTCTGAAGGGTTGTGTATCTGCAAAAAAACACGACTTCATCCACAGAAGAAGAAAAAGAGACATGAGTGGGTAAAAGCTCACAAAAACTGGACTGATGATGATAGAAACAAGTTTGAACTGTTTGGTTCCAAACTCAGAGTCTATGTCTGCAGACAAACTGGTGAACGTCTGAAAGCTCCATGTGTTACACCCACAATTCAGCATGGAGGTGGTAGTTCATGGTATGGAGATGTTTATCAGGTGATGGAGTAGGAGATTTGTTTGAAGTAAATCATGAAGAAGGAACAGTACCACTCCATCCTCCAGCACCATGCTGTTCCATCTGGACTCAGACTTGAGGCTCATCAGTTTGTTTTGCAGTAAGACGATGACCCTCATTTATCAAGCTTGCTTACAGCAGAAAACTTGCGTACACCTGAGCGTACACCTGAGCGTACACCTGAGCGTACGCTACGACCAAATCTCACAACAGGTCTGACACCGTGTACGCAGGTTTGAGTCAGTGTGGATCTGCGGTGCAGAAAATGTCTGTCTGAAAATAACTGATAAACCTCAAACCTGTGATTAAGAACAACCATCCAGATTTCATTAAAGATTCAGGTATAAATGAAATAAAATAAACTTATTATGTCCTTATTGAAGAGGCCAAGAAACACCGCCACAGAGCAGGAGCGCCGTTTTAACACTGCGCGCACACGCACACACGCTCCACTGTGGGGCGCTGCGTTTGACTCCTAAAGGCAGGTGTCTCTGTCTCGGCCCAGCAGCAGGGACGTTGTTCTTCACTCCTGAAGGGCTGTGGGACATCATTTGGGCCTGTGCAGTTTTGGACAATGTTGTTCTGGTGAATAGAGCGCCGTTTGCTGTGCCGGTGCAACGTGAGGACCCGATGATCGGAGAACAACAACGAGGAGAGACTCCTCAAAGGTGCTGCACAGAGGAGACGGGACCTTCGCCATGGATTCTGACAT